AAAGTGTTTACTTTGAGCTCCCCCATCCCTCTCTACTGTCGCTTTGTATAGACAAGGACTGCTTGTGTCTTGCATTTAGTGGATAGGATTGGTAGTGGGGGTAGTTTACAAGATTCCTAGTATAAAAATATGATCTTCTGTTCATGTACCTAAATACACTTTCTTTGTGAGTGTGAGTGTGTGTGTGTGTGTGTGTATGTGTGTGTGTTTTGTAGGATGCTGAGTTTCACCTACCACTTCTGTTTGCCTTTACTGTACAATCACCATTTTTCTTCTTCTTTCTTTTTCTCTCCCAGAAGCTTTGCCTTTCCAAGACCACCTCTGAGTCCTTCTCTACTCAGTGCCTTGAGGCTTCAGGACTATTTTTAGTATCTTTGCAATTCAGATAAATATCTTACTCCCAGTGGATGAGTTTTATCTGAATGGCCTCTTCTGACCTTTCCCAGCTCTCTAAGAAAGATGGCAGTGAGAGCCCAAGAGCCCAAGTAATAGTTCTGCTGAAAACTGGTATGTTGATTACTTGGCTTAAACTTCACTACATGTAACTGGAAGTTTGTAGCATTCTGCATTGCCTAATTATGCTCATAGGAATGAGATTGTTGTGGTCCTATTTGTTCTTTCTGTTAATTTGTATAGAGAGAATGTGTAAATGTGGGAAGTCACTACGGTGTTTTTTATAAACTTTTCATATCACCAATTTTAGAATCAGTATGTGTGTTCTTTTAAAAATTCATCGATGCATTTTTAGGTCCTGGGATCATATGTTTAATTTCTGAGAACTATTTCTTATTCTCCCGTTGCTCCCTTTTCGTAATAGGCTTTGTATTGTGGATACAACATCCTTTCCAGTGTTTCAGGTTACTAATTTTAAAATATATAAAAAGCTCCTTTCTGATTCTTTCATTATTTATTTCTAGTCAATTGTTCTGTTTCTTCACTTTAGTCTTTCTACTTTGGTTTTATTCATGTCAGAAGACCGTTGGTTTTCTTTTCATATTTGTGTATGAAAGGTTACATTTTAATGTCATTATTTTGCCTGGCTTTCCTCTGCAACTGGGTAGGTGTGTTTAACCAAAGTCCTTGCATTTAAATAGAAGAGATTAGAGCCAGAAACTGCAACAGTAAGGTTCTGTAGATTTCATGCAGGACTTCCTGGTGTGTGTGTGTGTGTGTGTGTGTGTGTGTGTGTGTGTGTGTTGCTTTGTTTCATTTTGTTTTGTTAAAGGGAGTCACTCTTTACCCAGGCAGGCCTCCAGCTTCTGGGCTATAGTGGTCCTCCCTTGTCGCTGAAACTACAGGTACAGCTCCAGTACCCAGCCTGCAGTTTTACTCATTGCCATAAAAGCATATCTCACTCATTTCCTCCTTGCTGAGACAAAATACCCGACACCCACACCTCACTTTTTAGAAGTTTCAGTCCTCTCCTGGTTGTCAGGTCCCAGGCAGAAGCAGGGTGGTGGAAGGGTCTGGCAGAGGAAAGCTGTGCACCTCATGGCCGCCAGGAAGCAGAGAGAAGCCCGTAAACAGGCATAACCTTCCCTGTCACACCTCCGTGACCGGCCTCTTCCAAACAGGCCTGGCCTCCTAACAGCAAGCCAGCTATTCCGCCCCCATGATCCAGTAACCTTTCAAAAGCCCCACCTTTGAGAGCATGAGGTTGAAGGGGGACATCCAGATAAAACCATTGCAGAGTATGTGCTCTGGTTGCAGAGTTTTCAGTCACCTTCATGTCTACAAGGACATGTCTTTGTTACCATTCTTCTGTGGGGTCTTGAGCTTCTGTAACTCTGCCCTGCCCACTGCTGAGCTTCTGCACTCATCCCAGGCTTCTGCAGTGCATCTTCTGTGGAAAGAAGTTCACAAGGCTGCAGATGGCAGCAAATGCCGCAGCCAGCTGCTGCCGGTTCCCAAGGAGGGGAGCAGCCAGCTGTTCCAAGTGTGGCTCACAGAATGATGCCCCTGCCAGCTTGTTAAAAGTGCAGAATCTGAGTCTCACCCCTCACTTCTTGCAGCAAAATTGGTGTAACTAATAGGACCCTCGGGTGACCACTGTGGACCCCAGAGTTAGAAGAATATCATTGTAAAGAGCTCTCACTAGTTCCTCTGCTCTTCCTGCTCTCTGTTCCCATCTACTTCAAGAGCAAGGCTGGTTGTCTTGGGTGCTAAGAAAGACTTCAAGAATTTTGTCTTCCATTTTCAAAGGTTATTAGCATTAGAAAGAGGAATCCAGTCGTATCTCCAGGATCTGATCCTATTTTAGTGATACTATCTATCTTCTGCTTCCCCCACAAAATCCCTTAGCATTTTTTCCCAAATATTTAATGTTGATCTTGAGAAATGAAGATCACTGAAAGTCTTGGCGGAGTGTTTGTGTGGAAGAAACAGGATCCAGAAGTCTATCTAGAAGCATTTTAAGGTAGCATTTTAAATACCTGTTTAACTTTAATCTCTGTGTCCTGTAGAAAAATCTGGAAATATATTTTAATTCCTATAAGTATTTATATATTTATTCACCCCCGGTAGATTTTATTGTTGTCACCGCTTTACAGATTAGTAAGTAACATGCCTACTTCTCTTTCCATTAAAAAGAAGATGATGGAACGGGGGATTTAAAGTGTGAAAGCTAAGCAGGAAGGGATACGAGGAAAGGGGCACCTCCGAGCAGCCCGGTGATGTTTAGAGCCGGTGGAGGCCCTGTTACAGGATGTGCCTGCTGGGGCTGGGTGGGCATCTGCGAGGACATGGAGAGAAATCCCTTCCCGGTTGAATGGCCAGACTAAGTCAAGACCGTGTCCCTTCCTCCCCCAAGCACCGTCTATTCTATGAATGAAAGTAGTCGATTCCTTAAGTTTCACTTTTGTATGACTCTAGGTTCTATATTCATAAATAACCCAAGAGATTGGATGAGGTTTTTTTTGTCTTTAACACTTTTTAAGAAATCATTTAAAATTTAAACATGTATAGAAATCTAAAGACCAGCAGAATAAACACCCAAATTTCTATCAGTCTCTGTCTCTCTCTCTCCCTCTCTCTCTCTCTCCCCACACTCCCTCCGGTCATTGTTTGAAGCAGGGTAACATCATCTTGTCATATTCAATGTATATTTCTAAGTGTGATTTTTTAAAAAACATGATATCTATTATCACGTTATGAAATATGCCTTAAGATAACCAAATAATTTAATCAGTTTTCAAAATTTTCCTATCATCGCTCATTCCTTTCACTTTGTTTTTGAATCAGGATCCAGAAAAAAAGTAGAGGAGTCAGGGTGTACGTTGCCATCGGTGGCTCTGTAGCTTCTCTCTGCTTCTCCTTCTAAAGAGCTTTGGAGGGCCCCGGACACATCCGAAAGACTTTGCCAACATTCTGTGCTCCAGGAACACATGAAATCCTTTCATTGGTTTAGGCAGGGAATGCCATTAACATCAGGGAGAAAGCGGCAGGCACAACCCCAAGTCTGTTCTAAGTGAAACAAGGACCTGAGCCCGCCCCCCAGAGAATGTGGGGAGAAACTGGGGTGAGGCATTGATGAACACAGCAGAAGGTAAGGTGGGATGAGGTTCACAGGAGGCACTAAGATTGGAAGATGCGCAAACCTGGGCTTCATGTGCTTTTCACAAGGCAGCATGACTTTTGCGACATGAATATTAGTCTCTGAGTCTAAAGACTGTTCAAACCTTGACTCTGCATTTAGGGTGTGACTTTGGGTGGATTTTTTTTTTTCTAAACATTTCTGAGGCGGGTTTCCTCATCTATAAAATGAAAATGTCATCACACATTTCCCCCAGTATTAGAGAGCTATTGAAGGCTTACTACAGGCCAACGACTTTTTGTGTACTGTCTCTTTTTTTTTTTTTTTTTTTGGTACCGGCGTTTGAACTCGGGTCCTTGCGCTTGCAAGGCAGCCCACCAAACCCCTGAGCTAAATCCCAGGCCCCTGCACTGTCTTTTAACCCCTGTGATATCACATAAAAAATAGTAATAGCACTTAAACAGTATGTCTGCACACACACACACGCATACACACACACAAACCCCTTATTTAATCTTCACATCAACCTTATTTTTTTAATTTAAAAAATTTTTATCAATATGTTTGTAGTACATAATAATTACATTCATTATGGTATTTTATTATTTCTGCTTTTACCTACAGAGGTTAAGTAACTTCCTCCACTTTAAGGGAAAAAAACACACACTATATATAAATGATAGAATTCAGAATTCAAATCTCATCAGTTGGTTTCAGAATGAGAGCTTTTAACCACTTCCCTGTTGGTGATAGTGTTCTGATTTTGCAGAGGAGGAAACTGCATTTGAGAAAGGTTAGGCAATCTCTCCGATGTCCCATTGACGTGAAGTAGCAGCATGAGGGGTTGAGTCAGACCCCAAAGCCCTCCTTCTGTCCCCTATATCACACCCACCCCCAAAGAAGATGAGGAAAGTGGTTTTACTTTCAGGACTTTGATTTCCAAAGATTTTGCAAGTTTGTTGCTAGGGTCCTGATGAAGATGGTGTCTTCTCACACATACCTCTAGAAGGGTTGTTTCCCCGCTGGCCTGTGGTGTTTCTGAACACCTCTAGGACTGACTCCTGGGAAAGAGTGTTAATAGCTCTGCGATGTCCACTCAGGGAGTGGAAAGGGTCAGATCTCAGCCCGGAGGTCCTCAAGTGTCCCCCTACCCACTTTGGGGACACCACATGCTCAGTGAACACCCACATCTTCCTTCATGCAGGGGCACATGTGCAGTGTTTCATGTATTTGTGGGCGAGAAACAGAGTCACGGAGAGAGTCTGGGAGACAAAGTGCTGTTTGGTCTGGGCTGTCAGACGGATGGGAGAGGGAGAGGGAGTTGGCACCTGTGTTGGGGAATCTGACCAGCACTCGCCTGTGCTGAGCAGGGCATCACACAGGAGCCGGGAGGGTGGTGAGGCCGGAGGGGCCAGGCCAAACCTAGGGTTCTCGCCTAATCTCTGACACTGACTCCCCTTCTTTGCAGTGTGGAGGCTGCCAGCATCGGGTTTGTTATTGTCATCGACAGACGAAGGGACAAGTGGAGCTCCATAAAGGCATCCCTGCTGCGAATAGCTGTATGTACTTTGTGCTAGCTAGTGTAGTTAAAATTTGAATGGTCTGCCCAACTATTACCTATCAAAGTTCTGGGGAGAGGCAACTATTCGATGTCAAGTTTGGAGGAGATCTTTGTAGCAGGTGCTGTTATGCCGCGTTCATGTCCCCTGTGCCACCTGAGGGCATCCTGCAGGCAACAGCTGAGCAGGGTCCAGGCTCCTTGCGTCTTTTACCTTATTGACTTCTGTGGCCACCAAAGAGGCAGGCAGGGAGGGAGGAGAGGTCAATGCCCAGGAGAAACCTGCACCCTTCTAGCAGTTGGTGCATAAACTCCTCGGCTTCCACACCCCTCAGTGGGGTAGTGCTGAGGTGTCAGACCTCAGCCCCTTGCTTCTAATATCCTGGCTCTCTCTGGCTCGTTACCCACCTCTCCACTCTCTCTGTTGTGCTGCTTGGAATGTTCTCCCCAGGAAACTATTCCCACCCAAGTTGTTGTCTGCATGTTTGCCTTGTGGACAACCTGACTTAATACAGTCCTCATTTCAGCATTGAAATAACTTTTTCACGTGTTAGAAAGAGAATGGCAAAATCAGACAAAGCACTGTCTCAGTGGGCTTCTTGGAGACACGCTTGCACTTGGCGTTACATTGTACAACCTCGGATGGGCTTCCCTTCCCTTATTAGTCGGCTTTCAGTCCCTGTGAGCTGCCTTCCAGGGAGTAGATGAGCTCCGTCTCTGTCAGGACCCAGACCTGGGAGCTCAGCCACATGTGAGACAGGGACAGGGACCCATATTCTTACCTAAGCGCAGGCTGTGGGGCAGAGAGGACAGGAGTGGTAGGGTGAGAACATGTGTGCAGGAGCTAGGGTGGGAGGGGGGCACTGGAAGCTGCACTGTGCCCCCTTCCAGAAGCAGCTCTGCACCCACACAGCTGCTCTTGGACTGCATTGGGGCTCATCAGATGTGCAGGCTGAGCTCCGCTGACTTACTGTGTCACAACACAACCAGCACATGGTTCTTCTCTTTAGGAGCCTGCAGTTTGAAGATGGGTTGCAGACATCCCTTTCTCTTGCTATGTGGATTCTGTCCCTTCAGTTTAGTTTGGGATATAGGACTCTTAGATAACCACACCCAACTCGTTGTAGTTGGATGTAGTGTAGTCCACAAGTTCAAGGCCCTCCTGGGCTACATAGTGAGACCAGGTCTCAAAACACAGGAAAGGAAAGGATAGGGGAAAGGGAGAAAGGGTGTTTTTGCTTATTGCTTTGGTTTTTAAGGAGGGGCTTGAGTTACCTGAACTGTGACGTCTCTTTTGCACTGAAATCTGTGAAATCTATTCTAATTCTTTGGCATTCATGGCATCCACCTGAACTTTTTCTCTTGTGATTTTGGGCAAGAGGAGAGCAAAGTAGGCCTTGGTAGCGGATGTGCCACCCTCTCTGTACCCTGACACCCCTCGTGATGCTTGCAGGTGGCATTTCCAGGAAACCTGCAGCTCATCCTCATCCTCCGTCCGTCTCACTTCCTCCAGAGGACGTTCGCGGACCTCGGCATCAAATACTATCGAGACGAATTCAAGATGAAGGTGCCGGTAAGCGCAACTCCGAGTCAGTCTCCGTCGGGCCAGGCTTCTGGAGAGCCGTCAGAGCTGGGGTCTGGGGGAGCCAGGCTGAGCAGTGGGCACGGAGGGGAGGCCTCTGGGCAGAGGTGCAGGAACGAGAGCGCACGCTTTGTGTGGGTCGTGGGAACCTTGTTTTGGCTGGGGTCCGTAATCATTGGGAAGAAGAAGCAAGGAAACATGGAGCAGGGCTTGGGGAGGAGGACAAAGCATGCGGATTGTATTCTGTGGCCACTGGGGACAGTGACCGCTCCCAGTTGGGGTGACCTGGTAAAGCGATCCTGGGTTTGCAGCAGTCTGAGGTGGCATCTCAGACGGTAGACAGAGAGTAAAGGCGGAAGATAAGATGTGCAGGTGAAAAAAATATGGCTCTAAAAGGTGAGCATGACATAAAAAACTGTGGGGCAAAAAAAAAAATCAGTATTGTCATTATAGATTTTTATTTTTTTGATGGTTTATAATTTATTATTGTCCTTAATTATTTGGGTGCACAAACTGTCCCAGAGCTGGCCAGTGGAGCCTTCAAGCCAGCTCTTGTATCCGTGCAATTTCTTAGTACTCCCTTGCTTTCTGGCCTAACATAATCTAGGCTCGCTTTGTCTGTACCCTGGCCCAGCCTTGTGATTCGCTGTTTTGCTCAGCTCCTCTGTCTCCTTTTGGTGTCATGTGGTTTTGGAGCCCACAGTCTGGCTGCAGGATATTCTCTCCCACCCAGCTGTCTTCGCTTTTAGGGCCTTTCAGGAGTGAGAAGGTGTAAATGTGTGCACAGGCTTGTGACGACATGCACATGGACTCTGCATGTGTCCCCGTGTCGGTGTGTGCATGTATGCACACACGAGCCAACGTGTCCGCTCTAGGAAGCACAAGTTCACACCTGATACCTTGAATTCCAGCCCACCTAGGGTATGCTTTTAAGTGGAGCTAGAAGCAAGGGGACAACAGTATACCCAGCTGGCACCACTTGAATAAAGAGAGTCCAGATGTGATGATCTGTGTCAGAGCCCCTCTGGGAAGACACAAGATGCACAAGAAAGTGTGAAAAGCGGTCGCCTCCTGGATATAGAATAGGAGGCCTTTGGGTAAGAATGGGGAGAATCCTTCTATTTAGGTACAGTCTTTTTCTGTGCGAGTTTATTACCATCTGCACATGTATCTGTTGAAAACAAACAAAAACCAATTTTAATTAAAATTGTCTTGAAAGAATATTTAACCTGTACTGATAAAGACTGGAACATTTCAGAAAGGATTTTTCTCACTTTTCTCCCTCTCTTTTCAGCCCTCTTGTCTTCCTTTCAGTTTCTTTTATGTGAGCAAATTTCTAAAAGTACTTTTTCCTTGTACTTTGGGTATTTACCAAACTCAGTATGAATTTCCCATTCTCTTTTAAAAATATTTGACTGAGTGTTTAAGGGAAATAGGAGCCATGAATTTCTTACTCCGTTTTCTTTGCCTGAGCAATAACTGATATTTGGAAAAATACAGTGACTTCTGAGGAGCCAGGCCCCTATTGTAACTCACAGGAGCTCTTCCCTGAGGAAGATTAGTCTGCTTCCTCCTGCCGCTCAGACTGTTTGGAGTGTGAGCTGGACACGTGGCTACATGTCATGCATGTTTCTCTGTTTGTCTGTGGAACATGCCTGTCTGAGCAGTCAGCCTGTACAGATGAGTACATGATTTACGCCCTGCTTTTCATGCGCCACACCTACCCCAGAAGGGACAGGGCATCTGCTTTAGCTACTTCTATTCTGGTAGTAGATATTGATTCTATAGCTATCCTACTTCTAATTTTAAATTTAAAATCAAATTTTCATTATTGAGGCCTTGCAAGCGCTTACAAGCACAAGGTCCTGAGTTCAATACCCAGTACCAAAAAAAAAAATCATTATTGATTGATTGTTTGGTTTTTTGAGACAGAGTCTCACTGTATAGTTCAGGCTGGCCTTGGACTCACTATGTAACCCAGGCAGGCAGGCATGGAACACACAGTGATCCTCCTGCCTCAGCTTCCTGAGTGCTGGGAGTACAGGTGTGTGCCACCACACAAGGCTAAAATCAATTTTTTAAAAATTCTCTGGGCCACCAACCCTGGCCACATGTAGCAGGGTGTTCTCTCTAAGGCAAGCTTACCCCACAGCTGCCTTTCACTGCACACAATGTTGCTCTTTTCCTGGTAGCTATGCAGGTCCATGGAATTCAGAGTCTGAGGTTACCAAGTTTAAGTTGAATTTCACAATACATTTTGTCTTTTAAATGACAGTTCCAGCTTTTAGTCTGCTTTCCTCTGTTTCAAAAACATGATTGTAGTAATAGCATTTTGTAGCCCTTCAGCTTCTTTATACCATCTCCCTGCTCACTTCTAGTTGGATCTTAATTCTGTTTCTGTAGGTTGAGGGGTGAGTTCATAGGAATTAGTGGGCCAGGGCTGCACTGGTAGTCAGGGACATAGCCTGTAATAACGTGACACCTTTATCGTGTCCCAGTGAGTACCTGGCGCCGGCCAGGCCCTTTGCTGTTCTGAGGCAGCCGTTCTCACTGTTGCCCCACAGCACCCCAACACGAAGTCTCCGGGGCAGGGTTGCAGAATCCTAGAGAGAGAAGGGGCACGGACATGGGGCTCCTGAAAACGCTGGGTTACAACAGAAAACAAGTGACTTGCCTGTAACTAGCAGAGCATATGCCCCCCAAGAAGAGCTTCAGACCCCTTGGATAGGAGCATCCGCGTGTGGATGCAGAAAAGGAACCTGTGGAACTGCGATGTAGGAACGTGCACACGGGACGTGGTGCCGCAGGAGGGCACGCGGAGCTGGGAGAGAAGGCTCTTGCTCTGTGGTCTCCAGTGTAAGCTCCTAAGGTCGGTAGGTGGGGCTGAGGGTTCCCACCTATAATCATTTACTGAGCGGGAGGAGGCGTGGGTTTGCTCAGGAGGTAGAAGCTGGAGCAGGCCAGAGCCAGCACCTTTGCTTAATGGGTTCCTGCAGGAAGGGTGGTGGGGCCCAAGGAGGAGTTTGGGATGGGCCCCAGGGCATGAGACATGGACCCGGTGTCAGGATCAGGATCAGTCCTCCGGCTTTGAGAGCGGGAGAATACCACCTGTGTGTGTGCACTCCAGGGAGGAGGGGCCGGCCTTGGCTGAGATGTGTGGCGTGTGGAGGGCAGGCATGGGCTCTGGCCACCACTGAGGCCCAATGGCAGAGCACCGGGAAGACAAAAAATAAGGAAATACAGTGTATGTAATTGATCCTGTGATGAAAGGATGCCAAGCAAATACAGAATCTGTGAAAACAACAACTGTCTTTTAAGGCCAGGTTTATGTGCTCAGTGACCTGTGAATTTGTTGAGCAGAATTATTTTGCTCTTTCTTTTTTCCTATGTAGAATTTTTAAACCCTTTTTTCAAACTCTTGATCCTAGTGCAGATTTTTTTTAAAAAGAAAAAAAATTCAAGTGAAACTCTTTGCCTTCATTTTTGAAATTCATTTTTTAATGTAATGCAATAAAATGTACTCTTTCTGGTGCATGGTTAGGCGTATGGACAAACGCATGTGTTTAATCACCACAGTCAAGACATGGAATGACTCCGTTACCCCCAAGTTTCCTCTGCCTCTTTGTAGTCATCTCCTCTCCCCATCTCTGTCCCCACCAGCCTTTGATCTGCTGTCCATCTCCGTGGGCTGGCATCTCCAGAGAGTTGTACAATTGGAATTAAATAGTAAGCAGCGTTTGCATCTGACTTCCTCACTGAGCACGTTGTTCGATGTGTCAATACTCCTTTCTGTGTACTCCTGAGTCTAACATTCCCTGGGCAAGGACATCTCAGTTTCTGGTTTTTAGCACTGAAGAACAAAGCTGCTATCAACTTTCACGTGCAGGGTTTTGCTGATGGTACAGTAGGTGTATGTTTAACTTTGTAAGAAATAGCCAGGCTCTTTTGCAGAGTGGCTGTACTGTTCTGCATTCCTACTAGCCGTGTGTAAGAATTCTAGCTCTTACTATCTCTTTACCTGGGCAAAACAAGGGTAAATTTAACAATTTTTAGCCATCCTATTCAGGTGCACGGTGGCATATCACTACAGTCTTCATTTGTGGTTTCCTGATGACTAATGGAACCAACCTCCTTTCGTGGGTTTATTTTCCATCTGTACATCCCCCCTGGTGACGTTTTGGTTCAAATGTTTGCTATTATTAAATGTATTGCTTTCTTATTGCTGAGCTTTGAGACTTTTTATATATTCCACATAAAAATCATTGTCAGATAGGCAACCTGCAGGTATCTCCTCTCAGGTGGGGATAATATCTTTACTCTCCTAAACAGTGGCTTTTGTGGAGTAAATGTTCTAAATGTGGATGAAGCCCAGTTGATCAACTCTCCTTTATGGGTTTGTGTTTGGTGTGCTGCTTTAGAACTCTGCCTAGCCCAAGAATTTGCCCAAGGTTTTCCTGACTCATTCACCACTTCTCTGCTCACACAACTCCTCCGATACCTAATATGTGGTTTCTCCTCACCACACAATTCTCCAGCTCTCCCGACCCCAACAGAGGGATTCCATTGCTATCTGTCCCATAGCACTGCTGCCACTTTAAATGCCAGCCTCAAGTCAGGGCCTCTTGTGCTTCTCATCAACAAGCTGTAACTTGGAAGTTCCCACAACCCCTTTCTTGGGTTCAATCATTGACCAGAATGGCTCACAGAGCTCAAGCAAGCACTTATATTTACCAGCTTATTATAAACGATACACTTCTGGAAGAGACAGGGGAAAGAGATGCATAGATCCGGGTATGGGCAAAGGGGCTTGGAAGTTCCAGACACTCTACTCTCCCTGCACCCTAATGTTTCCACCGCCTAGAAGCTCTGTAAAGCTCCTTGCCAAGTTTTTATAAGAGCTCAGTCTCCAGTGTAAGCTCCTAAATTTGCTAGGTGGGGCTGAGATTTCCAACCTGTAATCATTTTACTCTTTCCGGTGACCAGCCCCATCCCAAGGCCGTTAGGATCTTATCCTAGGTCACTCTATGAATGTAAACTCAAATATGACCCAAACAGGCCCAGAATGAAAATACTCTTATCACTCAGGAAATTCCAAGGGCTTTTAGGGGCTCCGTACCAAGAACCTGGGACAAAGACCAAATGTTTTTCTTATCATACTTGCCAATTTCCTCCTAAACTTTATATTTTTACATTTAAATCTGTGATCCATTTTTGAGTTAATCTTTATATAAAATGTAGAGTATGGGTTGAGGTTCCATTTTCTACATGTGGATGTCCAGTGTTCCAGCACCATTTGTTGCACATGGAATTATTTCTCCACTAAATTAATTGCCTTTGCACCTTTGTCAAGAGTCCGATTAGCATTTTCCAGGGTTCAGGGGTGGCAGGGGGTAGAAGGGTGCCGCCATAAAGGTGGCACAAGGGAGGTCTCTGGTGATGGGACGGTTCTGCGTCCGGACCGTGCCGGGGGTCACAGGCATCTATCCACACCTGTGAGACAGTGTAGTGCTCTACACACGTTTCACCCATTACACTGTTGCTTAGACGAGATTCTATAATTATACAGGTGTAGGCAGCGGGGCAGGAGAAGCTTAGTAAAAGTACATGGGACTTCTCTGAACTATCTTTGCAACTTGCTGTGAATACTTCAAAATAAAAAGTTAAAAACCAGTTGACCATATCTGTGTGAGTCTATTTCAGGATTCCATTTTGTTCCATTGATCTCGGTCTTTTGCCTTTGTTGTGCTCTTGCTTATTTACAATAGCTAATAAGTCTTGAAACCAGGTAGTGTGAGTCATCTTTTTCAAAACTGCATTTTTTGCATTTGGGTATGAATTTTAGAACCAGCTTGTCAGTTTCCACAAAAGGTCTGTTGGGAGTTTGATTGGGGATGCTGTGAATCTACAGCTCAGTATTCAAAGTTGAGCCTGCTGATATCTTTCTTTTATCTTCACTTTGCAATTTTAGCTTTTGCTTTTGGCTTTTAATGTAAAATTCCTCTTGACTTTCAGCAGCTTAAGATGAGAAGGCAGCATCCTAGTGCGTGTGAGGAAGCCCTCCCTCCCACTTAGATGGAGGGAATCAGGCAGTCTGGCCGGATCGGTTTCTGACAGTGCTGGCTGGGGGTCAAAGTGGCTTCTGTCCAACAGGAAGTCCTACGTAACTGTGTATCTTTTTAGATTCCTGGTGTTGCCATAGCAATGCAGACGACATTTTTAACTTCATAACTTCTTGCTATTTGTCCTATAATGTCTAACTTTTAAACACTGAAACCTTCTTGAAACTCCCATAAGTGATTTATTTGCTTTTTGTTTGTTTGTTTATTTGGTGGCAGGGATCGAACTCAGGACCCTGTGCTTGCGAGGCAGGTGCGGCAACACTGAGCTGCATCCCTGGCCCCTCCCATAAGTGATTTAAAACTTTAGGAGGAAGAAGCATAGGTAGTAGATTCAGGGTTTGTTTGTTTGTTTTGTTTTGTTTCTTTCTTACATTATAAATTTTTTAAATATTCAAACTTTTCAGAAGTGAAGGAGAAAGCCATGGGCCCCATCCAGACTAACGTAGGAATAGGTAGTAATTAGATTCCACTAAACCTAGCTTCCTCACAGGCGTGGCCCATCACACCTCTGACTTTGTTTCCCAGTACCTGGTATTTCTTAGCAGTTCAATACCTATTCAATGAGTAAATTTTTTTTTTTCTGTAATTTTGTTTCACCTGGAGTATTTGGCCCTAGTTTATCTTTTTCATTCCAGGGTAGATTTACCACTTGACTAATACTCTTTACCAGCGATGGAGAACCTTTAGAGCTTTCAACGATACAAACAGCCTGCTGACTTATGTGTTCTGGGTTTGCCACCGCTGCTACTTGTTAATGTAGAAAGTCCACATTCTTTTATGCCTGAACAAGAATCAATGTTTATAATAATCGATAAAAATTTTTAAAAATTTATATATATAAGGTTGCTAGTAAAAGGCACGGGGGCTGTGCTTCAGAGATAGGAGTAAGGAGTCCTAGTCCCTGGTAGGAGTAAGCAGAAGGTGTGATAGATACCCAGAGGTCCCCGGTCAGACAGCGTAGATCATGCCCAGGTCCGGCCTGCCATAGAGGAGCAGGAGGGGCCAGTCTGGAATATGTTAGCTTCTTCTAGATGCGTGAGTGTTTGTTCATCAGTGGAATTGTTAGTTTATGAAAACCCCCTCACTATTACCCCCTCATCTCCTCCATGCAAGACCGACTAGGGACCCTTCCTCACCGTTCAGAGGGCTGTAACTGTCCCATGGCTCTTTCAATCCATGCTCTGCAGGTTCCTGTCTTCTAACTTATTTTATTTATTTATTTATTATTGGTACCGGGGATTGAACTCCAGTTCTTGGGCTTACGAGGCAGGCAGCGGAACCACTGAGCTAAATCCCCGGCCCTCCAACTTTATTTTGATATTCATCAAACCGCACTTTGTTGGGATTCTCAGTCCAGACTTCTCAGCCTCAGCACAGCCCTTGATTTTGATGATTGAAAAGTATACCTTAGCTTGGGAACTTTGGACAAAGTCACCTAAAGCAAGTCCTGTCTCCTAAGTAGCCTAAAACTGAACATCCTGATCCAAGTCATCATTTTGTCAGAGGTTATATGACATTTTGGTATTCCTTGTCTGAAAGGGGAAAAATGGAAAGAGACACTGAAATAGTTCCCGGCTGTATATAGATCATCTTTGCTTACAAATGTCTGACAAGGCAAAGCTGAAATATTGTTTAATAAGAGAGCTAGATAAGCTATTTAATGGTCTATGTATGAGGAATATATATATATATATATCCCCCCCTTACAGATCATCATGTTAAACTCTGTTTCTGACCTCCATGGCTACATTGACAAAAGCCAGCTGACTCAGGAGCTAGGGGGAACTTTGGAATATCGCCACAGCCAGTGGCTGAATCATCGCACTGTGAGTATCACCTTGTGTGTATTCCACTGCCTCTCCTGGGTTTTCAGAAGCCAAGGGAGCTAAAAGTCCTCAGCTGAAAGGTCGCTGCTCAAGACTGCCTGGTACTAGGAAAGCTGCAATTTCTCAGCCGTGGAGTGGGGAAGGAGTATGGTGTGAGGGAAAAGCCTGAGGTTTCCCCTGCTAACTGCCTAAGCTCCCTGCAGCTTCTGATCTGGGGGTTTTGAGAGCCTTCACTTAGGGTATACTTGGGGAGTTTTTGAAAACACCATACTCTGCTATATAGACCTCAGGGAAATTACTTGAACTGGAATGGATCTCGGACATTTGCAATTCATAAAACTCCCCAGGTAATTCCTGTATACAGTGGACAGGAAGTCAGAATTAGCTGCATTTAAATACCATCCCCCTTACTCTGGTGGAAAGTGAGTTACTAAACCCCTCTGAGCACAGTTCCTCCTGTGTTAAGCGGGACTAACACACTGGCTCTCTGTTGGGAGTTAGTTTGTCCCCACAGCACATTTGACGATGTCTATAGCTAGTTTTTGTAGTCATAACTTGAAAAGAGGTCATTTTAGGCTTCTAGTGAGTAGGGGCCAGGGATCCTGCTAATAAACATCTTGCATAAAATGGCCTCCACAACAAAAAGTTATCCAGCCCAAAATGAGAATAAGGCCAATGTTGAGAAACCTTGAACTAACAAAAGCTACCTGAATGTCTGATGTGGAAAGTGATACAGGCCCTGATATACAAAGTAAGAAAAAAAATATATAGTGGAAGCCAGGTGTGATGGTGCACACCTGTAATCCCAGCACTTGGGAGGCAGGAGGATCGCTGTGAGTTCAAGACCAGCCTGGGATACATAGTGAGTTTCAGGTCAGTCTCAACTACATAGTGAGACCCTGTCTCAAAAATAAAAACAAAACAAAACAAAAAAATATAGTGGCTGCCTAAATATGTTTTAAAATTTATTACAGTAAAAGACACATTGCCATTAATCTCCCTCAAAGCCTCTCCCTCACTTCAGACTCTTTTATCCTGTCACTCTCCTCACTGTCTTAAGCAGCTCTCAAAGTGCTCTTTCCTGAGTGTCTTTAGTTGTGCTGTCATGAATCAATTCAAAGTGTTTCTCTTTCATGGTCATTTTGACTTTGGGAAGAGCCGAAAGTCTTGCAGTGCCAGATCCAGTGAAAAAGGTGATGAAGATACACCGTTATGTTTTTACTTGGCAGAAATTGACATAAACGTTTCATCAAACAACCGAGTAAATTTTTAAATAAAAAATTTATAACAGTAAAACACACATTGCCATGAAATCCCCTCAGAAAACTCCCCCTTGCTTCAAACATGTTTATCTCATTGTTCTTGGCAATGTATCTTTTACTGTAGTAACTTTTTTTTAATCATTCTTGGTATGGTATGTTACTTTTGCCCACTTATTTGTATTAGTGGTTGTTATGCTAATCTAGAAGGTTCAGGAACATTGAGGGAAAAGTGAAAATAAAACTTGCTGCTCTGGGTTGTCTATTATTGTGCCTCCCAACCCCAAGTTAAGTATGCTAGGATCCAATGTGATAGTATTCAGAAGAAGGGCTTTGGGGTGACTAAGTCATGAGTAAGTACCCTCCTGAGAGGGTGTAAGAGGTTCAAGAGCATGGCTTTGGGCTCCTGCCCATGAGGAGGCAGAGAAAGTGCCATCTTGTGAGGAACAGGCGCCAGACTCCAAGCCAGCTGCACCTTGACCTTGAACTTCCAACCTTCAAAAAAAGGTGACTCCAGGCTGGGGATTTGGCTCAGTGGTTCTACCGCTTGCCTCGTAAGTGCAAGGGCCTGAGTTTGACCCTTGTTACCAAAAAAAAAGGTCACTCCAAGATAATATCAGTGGAGTGCGAGCTTTTTTCTTTGTTTGTTTTTTAAGAGAGAGTCTTGCTATGTAGTTCAGACTGGCCTTGAACTCACTATGTAGCCCAGGATGGCCTTGAACTCCCAGAGATCCTCCTACCTGAGTCTCCCAACAGCTAGGATTAGAGGGGAGCACCACCATGCCTAGCATTGGGAATGGTCAAGTTTTTATGACCACACAAGTCTAAGTAAATCTAATCATGAAAGTTGTGTGAGAAAGCTCATGAAGAATGCTGTCAGTGACATGAATGAGTGACCGTGGGGCCAGTCTCCCAGACTGAATTTCATTAGGCCACCTGCACCCTGAAGGGCTCCCAGGCCTTAGTGTTTCACTTCCTAGACATTTGGAACATTAAATACTCAAAAAGAAGTTACTGTCTTGCCATCCTTGTTGGGCTGGCTAGCTTTCCCCATAGCTGTGATTTCTCTACCTGTCATTTGTTTTTAATGTTGTTCACATTTTCAAATTACCTCGAATCTTTGAGCCAAGACAACTTACAGCAAATACATTTTAAAGATGTATGCTTTGACATCAAAGATCCAAATAGTTCTTTAAGAACTTAGCGAGTTGGAGAAGGCTAAGTTCATGAAGACTGGCTATTTAGGGATGTCTAGAGCAACCACGTACCCACTTCCTGCCCTGCTAGACCTAGTTTGTAGCCATGGTTTTGTGTTTGTGGAGGTGTTGAAATACATGCTAAAATGCAATGAGTACTGAAAGACAAACATTATTCTTTATATACCTCGTACATGCTTTATGCATACTTTTCTATATACACATATAACTGAAAATAGAGTAGAAATACATATAAATATTGTTTTATATCTTGTGATTAAAATATAGAGATCCATTCTGTGTGTGTGTGTGTGTGTGTGTGCGCGCGCGCGTGTGCGCGCATGCACGTTTTCTGGATGTCACACCTTTGAATGACAGAGTCAGAAAATTAGACCTCAGAAGACACTAAAGATTGTTTATTTGAATCAATTTATTTTACAGACAAGGCAACTGACCTTCAGATAAAAAGGAGACTTATCCAAGGTCAGATGGCCAACCAGTCTTTTTAATTATCCTATCAAGATCAGGTCCTCTGTGCTATTCTCATGGAGTAACATGGAATCAAATTAAGTTGTGAATAGGTAACCTCCACGGAACACTGGCTCTATTCTGTTCCAGGCATTGCCCCTGACACTCTGGGTTACTGTTTTTATTACCAAACTTTTAAGATACTCCACTGGCCCCAAGGTCCCTTTTGCTGTGCTTTTTTGAACCTCAAAAAAACCTCACATGACTGGGAATGTTGCTCACTTGCCAAGCATATATGAGGCCCTTCAGTCCCCAGCCCTGAAAGAAAAAGAAACCCAAACCCTGCAGAACAGAAGCATTACCCCTTCTTTTCCAATGAGGACTCTAGGGCTCAGTGGCCTTACCAGGCTTACCCAAGGTTGTACCATTAGGTGAGTCAGGAGCTGGACTCTAATTCACATCTTCAACTCTCAGAGCTAAGCTTTTCTGTGGATCTAGTTTTAAATCAGACTTTGCTAAATACAGTTTTGACTACTAAGAACTGGCAAAATGTCGTGCTTTTGAGCACAGCCAAGGAGCCAGGTCACCTGGCTTCCAACCCATTTCAACCATTTTTTTATATGACTTTAGGGAAATCACTTCGCCTCAGCATGCCTTAGTTCCCTCATCTGTAGAGTCTAGGGTGATGAGGACAATACCTAACCAAGCTGCACTAAAAGGGGCCATGCATATAAAGCAAAATACATCATAACCTTACTTGTTCATATTATTCTCCTGGTGAGGTTTTTCCTTTTATGTTATTCACCACAGGTCATTAGTGATAAATTATAAGTGTGCCATATACAGACACTGGATTGTGTGCACATAATAACTTTGACATACTTGAAAAGTTTTCACAAAAGTATTTGTCTGGAAGCCCTGTAACGTTGAAGGTTGTAGCTGCCCAAGCAGCTGTGCTAATAGGGAGATTCTCCTGTGACAATGCTTCAAGGATACCAGTGGCTGAAGTAGAGAAGACTTTGGTAGAAGGAGGTGGGCAGTGTTCTCGAATCTTCCTCATGCCAGCCCCCCACTCTGACCTCTGATGTAGTCCTGCCCCCCGCCCCATCCGATTGGGCATTCTTTATGATGTGGGTTTGGGTTTTCAGAAATATTCTCTGATAACATAGAAAAAGAGGTTGGTTTTTCTCAAATGAAAGTTCAATGGGCCTCTGCTTTTTCCGTGCACCCATTCCACAGCTGTGTGTGGGTTCTCCGGGTGTGAAAGGCACAGTACTGGACCCTGGGTGTGGAGGTGAATGTGACGTGGTTTACCCTTGGGGGAAGAATTGTTCCAGGGGCGGAGAGCACTGGGTGTGGGAGTACAGTCTGGCAAGCGGATGATTCATGGGACTCAAAACTGCAGCTAACTCCTCAGGCCCACACCACTTTCTCTAGCATAGGCCATGGGTTTCCCTAAGCAGTCTGCTAAAGGGTCACCGCCTCACCTGGAGTGTTTCCTGAGAAGCCGCCGATTGGTTAGCACATATTTATTTAATAGTAGTACAGAGATCCAATTGGAAAGAACAGAGAACACAAATTTTATAAGTCGGAGACATGAAGAAGTCCCCAAACCACATCTGGTAATGGTTTAAGGGAGTCATCTCCCTCAAAGGTCACAAGTGACCTAATCACCACATTCATCTTTTCCTCCAACTGTCATATCCTCTCCGGCACTTGACAGGCTTCTCACAGGCAGCGGGCACAGGCACAGGTGTGTGAGGGGAAGAAGCAGAGAGAGGAGAGAGTAGGGGGTAAAGAGAAAGTCAGGTTTGTTAGAAAGAAGTGGGGATGATTCTGCCCTTTGCAGCCTTGCACCTCACATAAGATTCTGAGTCAGACTTTGCCTTAGGTGCTCTTGAGGGAAATGATCAAAGCCCCATCCTTGAAACAGGGTGGCCTTGGTTGGATCCTGTCTCTTTTACTGCCCAAGGAATTTGGTGTTGGGCAACTCACAGCCTGTTGGTGCTCCTGTTCCCTCCTCTATAAAAGGAGTTAAAATATCTCCCCCTCTGTATTATTGAAATAATACACAAATATATAAAAGAAGGGACAATGTGTGGCCCATAACTGGTACCCCAGAAATGGTAGCTGGCTCTGTATCCTTCCTTTGAGAGCATAGTAGTGCATGTTAATTGCTCTGCCTTGTTAAAATCGTCTGACCTTCCAGGCCATAGAAAATTTTGCCTTGACATTGAAGACCACTGCGCAGATGCTGCAGATGTTTGGGGCCTGCCTGGCCGCAACAGAGCTGCCCAAAGGCGTGCTGTCCTCCGAAGATCTTCTTATGTCCCACACCCAGCAGCAGGACAAGGTGCAGGTGAGTGGTCAGAGGCTTCCGAATGTCAACTCCTGGAGAGGGCCAGGAGCAGAATTCCTCTTCCTTCGCTTTCAGTCACACAGCAGCTGCTGGCTTCCCGAGACCTTACGGATAGGCAGTAGGTGAAGAGAAGAGTCTCTGGAGGCCGGTGAATGTGAGACCTGGAGAAGCACACCAGGAAGGCAAACTCTGTGACCGCCCAGGGCAGAGCAAGAGAGCACGCAGTGAAATCGCAGGGAGCAGCGGGTGGAAGGGGGTGACTCAAAGTGTGAGCTTTCCAGGGGTTGTCATGAAGTCTGGTGACAGGCCAGTAAACTGACTTTCTCAGGGACGTGACTTTTCACGTGGGAAGTCATTTGAGCAGAAAGACTGCTGTACAGAAGTTGTTCTGAGTTGGTTGAAAGGCGTACCACCCCTTAGGTGACTCACGAGAGAGCACAGTGTAACTTGTAGAGAAGGGAGTTTCAGCAGGGTTCATGGAGCACACAGTAAGGGAGGTCGTCCTGGGGCTCCTAACTGCATGGGTGCCATCATCTTTCTGCCCTGAGAAGCATGACCAGACTGAATTCCATGTTTCCCCGAAGGCCTGTTTCAATATGGCAGCAAACGGACGGTGGTAGCATTGTCCTGGCTGCCTCAAATTTGCCAAAAACTGAAATCTTTATCTGTGACCCAAAATTTACAAAATGCTTTACCAAATGATTAATTTACTCACTTATTCAACATGTATTGCATACTCACCACTACATGCCAGGAAACTCCCGGAAGAGTGCAGCCTTGAGAACCACAGAGTCTGTCTGGTCAGGGAAGTCTCAGAGGCTAGAGGATATGGCAAATGAATTCTTCCACGTGCAAGGGAACCATGCTAAATTCCATCTTTCATGGGGCTGTGGTCCAAAAAGAGCTCCAAATGTTCTCCCAAGATTATTCACAAGATCGAGGCTCACACTGTGAAATCCCAACAACATCCTGGAAGTATCCCCAGCACAGGCCTCTGGGAAGCTTGGTCATTTTCTATTTTTAGCACACTGGCCCAGGTCACCTCCCCTAATTCCTTCGAGGCCCAGGCTGCAGAAAGCTGGGTTTGACCTCCAGGGGTGTGCGGAGCAGCCAGAGAGCCAGGCAGTCATGCTGGGCAGGACACGGAGCTCAGCACCAGAGGGAAGGCTGTAAAGCGGAGCTGGTGTGATCTCAGCCTCACTGCCTGGACCTGCTGCAAGGCAGAAGCACTGAGGTGACACCGTGGCCAGCCAGGAAGGTCACTAGTGACCAACAAGCAAAACTTTTTATTTTTTGGTACTGGGCATCAAACTCAGGACCTTGCACTTTCGAGGCAGGTGGTAGAATCACTGAGCTAAATCCCCAGCCCTAGCAAAGCATTTTTGCAAATTTTGGGCCACCAATTAGAGTCCAGCTCTTCCAGCTTTGATGCAGTGAGGACACGCACAATGCTGTGAGGCAAAGTGTTTTTAAAATGTGGGTTTTGGACATTTCTGGGAAGTAAAAACCAGCCAAAAAGGTCCTACTGACTGTGTGGTAGGTTGGACCCAGGAAAGGCAGGATGAGCAGCGCTCTGTAATTTCAGCTGAGACAGTTTTACAGAGGCCGAGGGCTGGAAAGAACCAGGCTCTGAGGTGGATAAGAACAGTTTCCTATGCATATGAACCAGCAACTCTGGGAAAAGGACGTGAAAACTTCACACAGATCATGTGGACTATTATTTGACACTTATAAGAAAAAAATAATTTTATCCTCTAATTTATCATATGTTGATTTGGTTAAATTCCCCATCTAACCTGTAAAATAAGTGAAAAGACTTCAGGATGCTCCACTTAATTAGCCTCTTAGTAAGAAAACAAATGCAGTCTTGCGTAAACTAATTCATGAGGCTTGTGTTTATAGTTTATAAAATCACAGCAAAAACTCAGCCCTATTTGAGAATAAAGTGATTAATAATCTTAAAACAGTTTGATAAAATAATCTTAAAACAGTTTAATGTGTTAAGGAATTCATCTTCATTAAGAATAATAATAGGATTTGGATTAGAAACATGCTGTTTATCCTACCAAATAATTTTCTATGAAAGATAATACAGAGGATTCTGGGGGCCTTTTGTGATTACTAATCACTGGCCCAACGCAAATTTGTTTCTTTGTTCTTTATCTTGTAACTTAAAAGCAAAAATATCAAAATTATATTTGAGTTACATTTTTCTTCTTTCTCAACTAAAAATGCCTTGAAAAGAAAAATGGGCTATATTAGAAAAAGCCCATTGTAAGACTTGAATAGGCTAAAGTGACTCCATGCTAATAGGCCAGACTGTGCTTCTTCATATGCTAATTGCTACCTTGGTTAACAGCCCGCCCAGGGGCAAATGGTTTGACAAAAGGTGACCGTAGAACATTTCCTGCATAAGATAAACAGTGCGTTTGCAGTCTTGTTCTGTGAATTCCCTGACTCTTTGTTTAAAAAAACCTTATAAAAAGCACCTCAGCCGCTGAGCAGTGGCCTCTCTGAGCTACCTGGCTCCGGGAGTGCTGTCTGGCCAGACTAATAAAGGTCTATTTACCATCTAGCCTGGTGTGTTCCTTCCTGGGTGACTCCCCTTCCTCAGTGAGCTCCCGGAGCCTCGCTGGGTGTTAGGACCCAACATCATAAAAACCTTTTTGACTGTTCACGCTCCGTAGAATAAAAGTGAGACTTTAAGTCTTACACCTGTTCCTTAAATTTTTATTGATAACTTAGTAGTTTATGGTTATTTATGCATAACTTATTTTACTCGGTGGTAAACTCATTAGTGTTTTACCTAACTTTAACCAAAGATTCTGTAAGCAGCCGAATAGTTCATTTTCCATTTGGAAAGCACCTTTTCCAAGTGAAAAACCAATACAACGCAAGATTCATTCCTTACCAGAGTGAACTTTTAAATCTATTTAAATAGCTGTAAAAGTCACAGCCCGTGAATTACTGTTTTCTCCCAGCCTGGAGAGCTGCTAAACAGGGGGGAGACTTAGCCTGATTGCTTGGTTTACTTTCTCCTGGGGATATTCAGAGCTCTTACCTTTGTTTTTATAATCAGTCACCTTTCCAATCCATCAAAGTAGGAGAGCCACTGAACTGAGGGGTTTTACAGCCTCATTTGCTAATTCTCTGTGGAGTCCTTCCTCCTTTGTGCAGCGTGACCTCTGAAAGGATCTCTTTCCTCTGGCTACCAATGGTATCTGTTTACACAGAAAAAAAAAACCCCGCCTCAGAATACTCCCAGCAGAATGATCTTACCAGTCTTTTAAGGAATCACAACTTGAAAAAGGGCTGTTCTCTAGAAACATAAATTCCTTCCCCTCAGGCTGAGCCACTCTTGGACTCTGACTCATCCCAACAGTCGGGTCCTGGGTCCCCAACTCCTGCACTTTTGCACCCAGTCAGACTGTGGGGACTGGGCTTTGTTCTAAGACTGGAAACCTTGTTTTCTCTGTGATTTCACTGTCCCATCTGGGGAACAGGAAGGAAGAGTAAGTCCTGTGCACACCAGCGGCTTTAGCCTTCCCTGGGAATGGAAACCCCCTCCCCGCTGGGGGTGCTTGGCACATGCGCACTCACCCCCTGGCTCACAGTCGACCCCTCTCCAAGGAGACGCTCTGATTTTCTAAGGCAACTGCGAGCACTAACCCCGCCACCGTAGGGGACCTGGCTGCACAAAGGAAGGAAACTCTTGGAAAGGGAGCATGAATTCATGCACAAGCTCAGAACACAGAGCCCTGAGCTCCTCTTCCATCCAGCCTGAGTGCTGGAAGTCAAAGAAATCAAATACTCAAATTGATGGATATTTTCTTTCCATAGAAACTGAGACTCCATTTTTGGCCTGGGCAACTTACTTTTACCTTTCCGGGGGCTGTCGTTCCTCTACCTTTCCCTGGTTTGGGGCAGATATTGTAACCCTTGTGAAGCTGTGATCCAGACCACGATTTTTGCTTTTTTTTTTTTTTTAACAGTGTGCAAGAGATGCCCAGTGTGTACCATCACGTATGAGATCCACTTTCCCCGTCTCACAAATTTTCTTCATTTTCTGAGGCTCACTGTGTATGCCGTCCTTCCAGCTCCCCTTCCGCCTGCCCTGGCCATTTACATCTCCTCCTCTAGCCTCTCCGCCTTTCTTCCCATCTCTGCATCACAAAAGTGTGTGTGTGTGTGTTTGTGCATAAATCTTAAGAATGGATGTTGCCGAATCCTACGCAAGCTCTGAGTGGGAAAATCCAGGACCCTTTTTAGTGGGTGGAGGAGGAAAAGGCTAAGAACACCATCTCAAGAGTACTTTTCCCCATTATAACTGATTGGTCTTTATCCATCTGCAACCTGACTCCTTTTAGACTATTATTAACTTACCCATCCTACAAATATTTAATGAGCATGGGTGAGATAAAAAGAAATGGAGGCAGACATTTGAGAGTGGAAAAGAGGGGCAATGTCTGATTCTCAGGCAGGAGAGCAGCCGGGTGGCTGGCTTGACAGAGCCAGGAGGATCCAGAGAGCCCCAAGGAAGGTGTCATCAACCAGACCTAGGGAAAAGTTTGAGGCTGGGAAACCCTGGAGTAAGACGGGAGACCAGGAACAAATCCTCAGGTTCAGGGGGCCCAGGGCCCAGTGGGAACAGAGTGAGGCCACACAAACCTTCTGTTCTGGAGAATGAGCTGTGGCAGAGGTGACGGTTTGGCTCGAATCTTAGAACCATGGTCTTATTCTCACTGCTGAGTGCATCTGTAACCCAGGAACTAAACCCAGAATTCCCAAGAGTGAAACTCTAGGCCTGCTGTGCTCCTTTGGGCTCAGAGTCAGCAGGGATGACCTGCCCCATCCAAAGAGCAGACTCGGGCTGGGGGATTTTGAAGCCAACAGCCTCCCCTGTAGCACAGCCCCGAGTCCCTACGTTAAAGAGCACGGGGGAGGCTCCTAGGAAATAGACTTCAATTGCTGTCCATTTCTGGGGAGCAGGTGGAAGGAAGGGGGTGTTTATCTATGAGCATCGTCAACTTGCAAATATCCTGTTGTTATTGTTTGGCCATTTCTAGCACCTTCACACTCCATATCTGTCACTTTCTGGTCACTACCCTTGATTTTATTAACCACTTTGGCTTTTTAACTTATAACAACAGCATAAGACACATAAAAAATTGTAAATAAATATTGCTTTAGGAGAGAGAAAGTAGGCTGAGCACAAAAGACTTGCCTTTCTGGTTCCTAATCTTATAAATTTTGAATTTTATACTCTGTATATTAAGGATAAATTGTTTTTTTAAAAAAACTGTATCTTGACTTCAGCTTTTAATTTCTTAAGTGAAAAATATCCTGATCTACCATTCTCCTCATCACCACCATATCAAGAATTAGTTTTTGGTTAATTGCTTCAGTGAAAGTCTTTTTTTTTTTTTTTTCCCCAGGATGAGCTGAAATTACTTGGAAAGCAAGGGGCCACATTACTGTCATGTGTCCAAGAACCAGCAACCAAAAATTTCTCCAGAAAACTCAATCCTAGTGAGCTTGAGAATATAGCTACCATGGAAAGGTGAGTGAGATAGGACTTGCTTTTTGAGGAGAGAGCTGGGTGTTCTGAACTAACCAAGGAAAAGAATTTCATTCCCTCTTCTTACAATACTCTCTCCTCCTGGGATTTCAAGAGAGAAAGCAGTACTTATTGAGCTTCATTTCCAAATAACTTTGGCTTGGTGCTGTGTTCTATGCATATGTAGTCTCAGATAGGAAAAAAAAAAAAAGAAGGAAGCCACATAGGCAAGATCACCTGGGGCACATTTTAAAGTATGGAGCCTGTTTCTGGAGGGGGTTTTGCCTCCTCTGTGGGTGTCCTGACTGGAAAAGAGAAGCTGTGGGGACTCACTGAACCATAGGTGATAATTCCTTATGATGCAGATATTGCTGCAGTTAGTAACACTGATGGAAACCATGTGCTATATATATACACCATATATACACCTACATATACCATATATATATATACATATCCCTTATATATACCTATATATACCTTATATAGAAGTGATACATATATACCTTAGAAATGAATGCTAATATAAGATTGTCTTTCATTCTTCCTCAAAAGGTTATTAGTTCAATTGGGTGAAACAGAAAAGGCCTTCAGTCAGTTTTGGTTTGAGCATCACCTGAAGCTTAACCAATGCCTACAACTACAACACTTTGAGCACAATTTTGGCAAGGTACTGTTTTCTTTTTAAATATAACTTCCTTCTTGATACAGACCGGTTTTCTCTTTCCTCTCAGATGCTTTGGGACTGGGTTTTTCTTTTCTCAGCAACTCGTCTCCCTGTTTATATCCTTGCTCCTTTCTAGTCCCCCCCCCCGCCTTCCCTGGCTTTTTCAGTGGGGAGCAGCATTCTAGGACCTCATGTTCTTGTTGATGTACACGGCATTTCATTGATGGTTTACCTTCTTTAGGGACTGGTAATCTGCTGTGTGCATTTCTAATATTTACCCACCAGTGTCTCTGCACCGCCCAGCTTAGTCTGAAAGGTAATGAGATGGAGAAAAGAAAGAAAGAAAGGAAAAGAGAGGAGGAAGGAAGGAAGGAAGGAAGAGAGGGAGGGAAAGAAAGAAGAAAGGAAGGGAGGAAGGGAGGCCGTATGAGATGCCTACAGGTCTTAATGCTCTCTGGATTTTCAAGCTTCCTTAGAGCATGATGGCCCTGCCCCTGCGGCTGGGTGCAGGCTGGTGTACGCCTGCGCTGCTCTGATGTGTCTTGTAGGTGAAGCTGGCCCTGCACGGTCTGCTGGAAGAGCAGGCCGAGCTCACGGGAGCTGGAGACAGTGTGATGCATGTGGAGCAACTGCTGAAGGAGCACAGAAGCTTGGAGGAGAAGGGCCAGGTTTGTCTTGTGAGGTTTTTATTCACAGTCCACCTTGGTGCTCAAGTGCTTTGGAACTCGTCGAATACGCTGCTCATGTGTTCTGAGGCCAGAGTTTGTCCCCGTACTTGTCATTTGTTTGGTACTCAAGTCACAAGCTAGAGCTTGCAAGTGCTGAGCGCCTCGTGCCTCACTGCCCTTTCCAACCCAGATGGTTTGTTTGGGCCTTGTCATTTTGTCACACTTCCAGGAACCACTTAACAGGGATGGAGGTGCACTGCCCTGGGAAGGAGGCTGCAGTGGATGATGACAGTCGTGTCCGCCACTGCTTTTGGGAGGTGGCTGGAGACCTCAGGAATGCCAAGGCCCTGCCCTCCTGTCACCCGGAGATCCCCAAGGATATACGCATGTTAGCAACTGTGAGGAGTAACACTGGCTGATACCAGGGACGCAGAGGCGTCCTCAGCTTCTGGACACAGTTAAGGGCAGAGGCCCAGGTGTGATGGGAGCTCAGGCCAGCCCTGCTTCTCATGTGCTGGGCAGCAGTGAGTGAACCACTCGCAAACCAGTCAGAACCAATGAGCTGGGGGCTGCCCCTGTGAGGAGCAGCTGTGTGGGTGGAGCTGCTGTTACGGAGGGGAACTTTTAAAAGGGGAAACTGCAAAGGCCAACAATAGCTAGAGCCACATGAGTCCTCTTGGTGTATGGAACTGACACAAGCTTTGTTCTTTCCTGTGCCCCAAGAGTTGTAGACAGCAGACTTGTAAAGGAACGCGTATTTCACAACTCCGTAACTGGCATTCGACAGTTTCCTAGATCTTTGCACTACTCTGTGCTCAGAAGTGATTCTATTCTAAGTTCTTACGGATTCAGTTTCTTACAAATGAAGGCCAGTGAGTCATCTCTGTCCAGAGAAATAGCATTCTGCTTTTCCTTAAGTAGATTCTCTAAGTTGTTTTCTCTTGGGGACCAAGACTCCTGTGATTAGCACTTCCTTCCCAAGCTACCCCAAAGGCTTGTTTCCCAGATGATTATTGTGCAGGACTAGAGATTTGCTTCCCACAGTGTGAACCTCTGGCCAGTAGCACACATATTGCCTGGGGAGAGGCGCATTAAATACGCAGACTCTCAGGCCCTGTCTAGGCATCGGAATCTGCATTTAAGAGCGAATTCCCATTTGATTGGAGTGCACCGAATGCCAGAGACAGGAGCCCAGTGCCACACCCAGCTGGAGGGGCTCCTGTGCCCACCTGCGCACCCAGGTCCTTTCTCAGGATTCCCACTTGCCCTGTGGGCCCCATTACCAGTCGTCAGCTGGTAACCAGCTGACCGTTGACTGCTTTGGCCACGAGTCATCAGAAACTTAGCAAGCAGTGGAGAAATCGTATCTCACACTTGTGATGGCTACATGGCACAGAGTCTCCCGGACAAACAGCCCCAATTTTATGTAGTCACTTCTTTGGGAGAAGTCCTAATGAAAAAGAGATACCGAGTGCTTCTGGTTACATAAATTTATATATTAGGAAGAAATGCCTCATCAGTAAAAATGCCTTCTCAGTCAACTAACTCCAGGGAGTGTGCTCCTCCATCAGCAGGTTACTCTGCCCGGGTTCGCCGTTGTGTGTGGTAGAGAACCTGTCGAGGCTCTGCCCTCACGGTTTCCTGTCTGCGGGAGAGAGGACATTAATTTAGAAAGCACGAGCTTAAACAAATATCATGATTTCTTTTTATATGAGAAACCCAAATTATAAATAAAGAGCACAGTACAAGGTAGACAGATAATAAAAGTAAGGAGATAGAGCTTTTTCAAATGGGAAGGGGGTCGAGAAATGGAGGGAAGTAAAGGGGATGAAAAAAGGAATGAAATGTGTTGGGTACAGGAGCTGGCTCCACACGAGGAATGTGAACCCTGTGTGCTGCAAACTTTAGCATAAAGAATTGAAAAGCAAGAAAACAAACGCATCAGGTGGTGACACAAAGGCAAGACAGTGTGTAACACAAGGCTACAGGGGTGCTGCTCTGGATGGAGTGGTCAGGAAAGGCCCCTGAGAAGGCGCCCACGGATCTCTGACCTCTGCAGTTGTGCCAAGCTTTGTAGACGAGCATAAAGGCAGAGGAAGCTGCAAGTACGGATGTCCCAGGATGGAACGGGGCTGGTGGGTTCGAGGAATGCTGCTGGAGAGTAGTGAGCCGGGAGGAAAGGAGGTGAGAGACCAGTGCGGGCTGAGTGGTCGTGGTAGGCCCCGAAGTATTCCTGAGCGTTGAGTTTTACTGGAGCAGGAAGCCACTGGACAGTGCTCTGGGTTCTAAACAGTGGCGATGGGTCTGCACGACTGAGTCCTATTCTCTCTTCCCACCTTGGACGTACTTCAGCATGACTCTGATCCCTGGCCTCGTGACCGTGAGCACAGACTTTTTAAATGGCTGCCCAGAGCGAGCGTTGAGGCCTGCATCGTGGTACCCAGGAATGCTCATGGCCCACACTCTTGAACCAGCCTGACTAAGCCACTGAGATGGCCGTGGAGTCCAGGCCCGTTCCTTGCTTACCCATTTCTAAAAGCTACTTCCTACAGGATGCAGCCAGTGGTCTATTCTTCTGTCTTTTGGTAAAACAAACAAAGTTATAATGTAACTTGCATCCTTCACAATGTCTTCTGTCAGATTTCAAAGAGCCATTGTGTTTTTCAGATGATCGGGGCTTAGCTAGTCTTTCTTTTGCCCAGAAAGCATTAAAGGAACGAGGTGGTACCCAGCCAGAATCCACCAGCTATCTGCTTGAGGTTCATCCTTTTCTCAGCCCTCAGTTGTCCACTTCCTTCCCAGTCCAGCCATAGACTGATTCTGGGTTGTCACCAGCTTCCCCTTTCTGTACAGTGACATTGCCCTCACAGGTAACCTCTGAGCCAGTCACTGACCAGATGCCTGTAGCATGCACATTGAGCCTGTTCTTTATCTTGCTCTAAGGGGCGGATTTAGCAGACTTTAAATACTTCTTCCTGATTCTGAAAAACAGCAGTTTCCACCACCATCTTCTACAAAAGCAGAATTTGCTGTAGGGTTTTGGCCATGAGGCATGCTGATGCTTGGCAGTGGGCCAGCAGGGTAGGGTAGTGGACCAGGGCAGGGCAGGGGAACCAACCTGACCACAGCCTTGGCTTCTCCCTCCAAGGCTACAGTGTCCCAGAAGGCCCGGAACCCAGGGTATTAACATCCTGAGGATGATTCCTCCAGCTACAGGATCGTGAGCTGTTAGTGTAAAACTTTCAAACACACAAGGAAGCAGCCAGCCTAGTACAGTGGATGCCCGTGTGTTCATCGCTCTGCTTTTAACTCTTTGTCTTCCGTGTTTCATGCACCTTCCTCTCATACATGCATTGCTTCTAGCGCCATTACCTGTGGGTTGGGATGCAGCAGCATGGCCCTCTGACCATTTTCTTCCACGTAGACACTGTCCTCTTTCATCTCTTAGCAACAGAGGAGAGGAGAGAACCAACTGTTACTGAACTGAAGATTTCTGATTTACATGTTACTGGACTATCTAATCTCCTGTAATATTCAGCACCTTGTAGTCAGAATTTAGCCCTTTATTATTATTCCTTTGAGGTTTCGTTGACTATTTATCTTGAGTAGGAGCTATGTAAACTAAAAAACAAGCTGCAATTTGGAGGTTTATAGCAAAAATTCCTCATAAGCACCAAAAGGACTTCATAGGCATGGCTATGTGACCGTCACTCACAGCACAAATGGGGCGCACAGGTGCAAATTTGGGAGTCACTCAGAGCTGGGCTCAAATCTCACCTCTGACAACTGTCAGCTGTGTGACCCCAGCCAAGTTTCTTAGCCTTTCTAAATACAGCGCCCTCATCTTTAAGACAGCCGATACTTTATATCGTGACTTCTTTCCCTGTAGGCATCCCCTGTATTTCTCTTGCCCAATGGCTCCAGCTCTTCTCCTTCTCAGAGTCTTCCCAAAAGAGAGAAGAGCATCACACCACAGTGATCCCTGCATACCCATGTTTACAGCAGCACAATTCATAGTAGTTAAATCTTGGAAGCAGCCCAGATACCCATCACCAGATAAATGAATAAAGAAAATGTGGTGCTTATATACAGTGGAGAGCCACCGTGCCATAAAGAGCGATAAACTTGAGTCATTTGTAGGAAAATGGATGCACTGGATACCACAATGTAAGTGAAATAAATCAGACACACAAGCTCAGCTACCACGCGGTTTCTCTTGTGTGGAAAATCCCAAAGGGTAAAGAAGAACAATGGAGGATAGATATTGAGAAGTAGCAAGAATGTTCGAAAGGGAAGGGGAAGGGGAGAGAGGAGGAAGGGAAAGGGGATTTTGATAAAACACAGAATGGAAAGAAAATTGTTAATAGATCTTTTGTAAATGGGGAGAGGAAGAAGGATAGAAAGAAGGGGAGGAGAATGGGAGGAAAAAGAATTAAGACATGTGTTACCAATTCTGCACGATGAACGTGATCATCGCGTAGGGCTTGAACTCACTCCTGATGAGCTGGATGGGCAGGGATGGATCTGGAATGGTGTGGAACTACCAGGACACTGCTCTGGAATCTCTGCTCTGTCCTCAGTCCGGAGCATAGGCGGAAGGACAGCTTTATCCAGCCAGAGCTTGACAGAGACCCAGAATCCATATATATAATCCTACGAGGAGCTTTATCAGATTGGCCTCTGTGGGCAGGGTCGGAAAGAGTCCCACCGTGGCTGTCTGCTGCTCAGCTCAAGAAGCCAGGAACCTCAGAAAAGAGGACAGGATGCCGCCCGGCTGAAGCCTGAGGCCTGAAAACTTCTGCTGGTGCACATCTGTTTCCACAGGCTGAAGAATCCACTGACCAGTCCTGTGATCAGCTGGCGGCAGCAGCAAAAAAACACACCAGCAAAAAACACTCAGGGCGGAGGAGGGTGCATTGCGGCCCCCTCTGCTGCCTCTTCATTCCATCCCAGCCCAGCCTGTCGGACACACTACGGATGCTCAGGGTGGGTCCTGCCCACCCAGATCTCTCACCGGCCCCCACGCCAGTCCTCAGACCCCCCAGACATGTGTTACTGATTTCCTAGCAATCCAGTCAAGTAGACAACCCCATTAACCACCAGAGAGAGCCTGAAGGAAGTCTGGGCACCTGGCTGTCCCCATGGGAGAGCACCAAGGCCTGAATAGTAACAAGGACAGGGTGCATATGGGGTCAGAATTCTTCAAGTCATGAGAAGGGTATGGGCTCTGCAAGGCTTGGCAAATGACTCTGGAAGGTAGGAATCGCTGAAACCGTAAACCAGTACAGGTGGAGAGAGGGACAATTTGCTAGAGCAGCTCACAGGACTCAGCAGATAGTTCTGTCCAGATGTGTGATCTGTCGCGGTGAAAAGGTGCCCAACAAAATTTGCAAAGGGAAATGTACATAGGGTAAAGTTCTGAGGAAGCCAGACATGAGCAGCTCAGAGTTCTCACCCAGTGGAGTCACAGGACGGCCTCATTCCCTCACGAATGAGTGGTAGTAACATTCTTGAAATGCTTTTATCAGGGAAGCTGTTAGACACTCCATTCCCAGAGCTTTTCCTGAGGGTTTGTTATGCAGGCAGGTAGCCTCCACCTGGCAATGTACCAAAATTCCACACTCTCCTGAAGAAAACAGGTTAAACAGGCATTCGGTATAAACAGTATTGTTTGCACAAACATTTCAGGCATGATGAGGCTTTGTTTTTGGGTTTTTTGGTGATAACTAGGATGGAAGCCAGCTGGGCAAGTACTCTACATTCCCAGTTCCTACAGGGCTGTTTTTCTTATTTTTATAAGGGAACCGTAGGAAACCTCCCCAAATCTAAACCCCTGGATGCAGTTAGTCAGGCCTCTCTAAGGGAAATTGACCTCAGGCCTGCTAGGTTAGCTCTTTTCTGCACAGCTTGGAAAGCACCTTTTCAGTAAGACCTCTCCCTCTCTCTCATCTTTTTGACCCAGCTGGCCTCCAACTTGCAATCTTCCTACCTCAGCCTCCTAGTAACTGAGATCACCATCCCATTTAGCAACTCCTGCAACAGAACTCCCTGCTCTTCCCTCATCTGATTTTTCTCCAGACCACTAGTTCTGCCTAAGATGCTGTAGAACCTGTGTGCATTTATTTGTTTGTTGCCTGTGTCTCCCATTGCTCTGTAGGCTTCACAAGGGCAGAGGGTTTTGCCCACTGTACCACCACTCCTGGCCCCTAGGTAGAACACTGCTTGGTACATGGCAGAGCCTCAGTAACAGGTGAGGGACAAAGGAACAAATGCTTAAAACAGGGAAAAATGGCATAATTACTTAGACTAAATGAGTTATGCAGAAAGAGGGAAGAAATCCAGTCGCTGAGCAGACCAGGACCCAAGGGCCTCAGGGAGGAGTTTAGGTAAGTGCCCCAAGTACACCAAGACTGTTGCGAGCCGGCGACGCAGAGCACTGTCCAGCAGTGCCTCAAACCTGAAAGAGCAGCGGGGTGGAGGTGGGGCAGAGAGAAAGGAAGGACGCCAAGACAAGAGTCTGATCAAGGCGACGTTTATTGCCGGCAAGCACTGGCCTTTTAAAGCAAAAAAACCACAAACTATTATGGGATGGGGTTACCATAGTAAATGAAAGTTCACACAGGAAAGAGCAAACAGGCTCAACAAAAACAACCACCATGGGTAGTAGGAACCCAGACAACCACACATCTGAAGGTCAGAGACAAGAAACTGCAACTTTCAGGAATTCCACAAAGGAAACACACCACCTTCTAAACTGGAGAAACTTAACAAATATGGAGTTACTAAAGTTAACAATACTTACAACCAATACTCATGATTCCCACACAAGATAAGTACCGAGCACCCCGGCTGCTGCGAGGTTGGCGCTGTTTCTCAACCTCAGCTCCACTCCTCTTCTTCTCGGGGCCAAGGGTCTGTCTCTCTTTCTTTCCCTTTCAGTTAATAGCAGATTCAGAGTCTCTTATTACATGCCAGATAATATGCCATGCTTTCCTGCATGCTATTTCAGGATTGTAATAATTTGTGGTCTGTACAATTTCGTTCTGATCTCAATTTGCCATTGAACTGACAATTCCTAGCCTATGAGCATGTCTCCTCAGTACGGCCGTAAGGCCACACTCTCGTAAGCTTGGGTGAGCGACTTCCGGGCCCTGGCACAGCAGCCCTGCAGCCTCCTCCTGGGTTCATCGCACAGTGCTGGAACTGTCAGTCTCTTGACACTCTGACTCCCGGGCCAGGCCTCTCACACCCACTATGGATGTCCCTCCTGCAGGAGCCCTTGGAGAAGGCCCAGCTGCTCACACTGGCTGGGGACCAGCTCATCCAAAGCCACCACTACGCGGCTGACTCCATCAGGCCCAAGTGTGCGGAGCTCAGGCACCTCTGTGATGACTTCACCAATGAAAACAAGAAAAAATACAACATTTTAGGAAAGTCCTTGGAACTGCATAGACAGCTAGACAAGGTGAGCAAAACAAACTCATGAACGTGAAAACGTTTGCTTGGGTTTTAGCTACTGAGGGCTGAGCCCACAGCCCTCAGGCTGAGCTACATCCCTGGCCCTTTTTATTTTTTATTTTGAGACAAGGGCTCTCTGAATCACTAAGTTGACTAGTCTGGGCTTGAACTCGTGATTCTCCCAGAGTGCTGGGATCACAGGTGTGCGTCACCACACAGGACTGTAAGACAGGTTGGGTCGTCCCAGTCCTCGCCTCACAGGATTGTGGAGAAAATCAAGTACGTTACGTAAACAGTGTTGACGAGACAGTAGAGACTCATACATTTGAGGTCTTGGCAGTAGAGAAAATAAAAAGCACCGTAGTCTTTCTGTGCGGAGGCAGACTTAGAAAGTATATTTTGGCCTGGTCCGGTGGGACATTTCTTGATTCCCTGTCAGATCCATGGAGAATCATGTATTATATTTGCAAAGTGCTTCCTAAGGAGGCAAGAGATCATGAATGCTTCTGGAGCAAGAATGGCTGGTGTGTGAGCACCTGCTGTTTCTGCCAGGGACATCGTATATCATCTGTTTAATCCTCCAGGAAGCCTGCGAGGAAGGCGTGAGTGGCACACTGGTACTCAGCCTGGGGAAGTCAGGGGCCGCAAGACTTGGCGTGTGTGCCACGTGGTGCTGGTACACACGTAATCTCAGCACTCAGGAGGCTGAGGCAAGAGGATCGCCATGAGTTTGAGGCCAGCCTGGGCTCCATAGCCAGATCCTGTCTCAAAAAACAAACAAAAAAGACTTGGCCGGTGAGCAGCACCTAGTGAGGCAGCTGCACCTGCAGATTCTCTGAGGCAGCACCACAGAGACTGGTTTCAAGTCTGGATGATCCTTGGGAATCTGTGTTTTTAGTCAAGTGCCCAGGTGATGGTGCTGTCAGACGGGTAACACAGGGTCCACACTGAGAACCCTGGGACGAGTGACTGCCCTAGGGGAGGCAGGGTCAGCGAGATTCCAAACCCAAACTCCCTGGGCTGGCCAGCAGGGCCTCGTGCGCGTGCGTCCTGCAGGCTGAGTCCCCCCAGCACCAGCGTGACTTCTGGAGCTTCCCGGCAGCTGTTCGTTCCCTGGCTGCATGTGGCCTCAGGCCGTGAGTCAGCACAGTCAGCTGCCTTCGCACAGCTGCTCCGTCCACTGGGCGGGCCCGCAGTCTGCAGTACCCCACTGCCAAGGGATTTTCGTGTCAATGAAATGCAGTTGTTCCAGAAGCGAGTGGCTCCCGGCGGGGGGTGCACACGGCCCCACCCTGGGTGCTGCTGTCTTCCTCGCTCTGGTTCTGCCCCACTGTGACTGCAGAAGATTCCAGCTCAGCGTTTTCTGCAGAGCTAGGCCGATGTGGAAAGGGAAAGTCTTAGAGCATGATGTCATTCGCTTGAAAATCCAGAAGTGCAGGGACTCAGAGGGGTTCAGCATGGACACCTAAACCCTCACTCCCTCTCCCACAGCCACACAGTAGTAATCATTAATTTTATCTTTATTTTTTTGTTATTTGAGTTGTAGTGCATATTTCTTATAGACAGTTGGGTGGGAGAGACAACCCCTGAAGTTGTCTGGTACTTTCCTACTCGGAAATAAGCACCTTGGAGTTTTCTTTTGTAGTCTTTTTATTTCAATATAGTTCTTCAGGTCATGTGATAAATGTAAACACAGCCCGACTTGTTCAGAAACCTTTTTTTCTTAGGAATACTCAGTCAGCACAAGAACCCTGCCTTTCTGTTAAAATGTTTCAGGGGAAGGAGGGGGTGAAGGGAGGGCAGGGACACGGGGAAAAAATGAGAAACAAGACCTGTCATGTAGAGGTACAAGATCCCAGTAATGAATGTAACTGTACTGTATACCTAGAATGTACCAATAAACTCAATAAAAAGAAAAAAAAATGTTTCAGGGAAGTTCAACAAAAGAGCAAAGAAAACAAGTCAACATCTTCTCTTTTTTTTTGGAGACAGTCTTGCTGTATAGTTGAGGCTGTCCTTGAACTCATTCTGTATCCCAGGCTGGCCTCAAGCTTGTGGTAGTCCTCCTGCCTAAGCCTCCTGAGTTCTGGGATTACAGACATGGGCTACTAGCTACTACACCCTAATTTCATCCTAACATCCAGAAAATTTGAGGATTACTCTTTTGTGTTACAGAGCTTCAAATGCTAGGACCCTTCTATAAAAAAGACAAATGCCAATAAGGGTGAATGTGAATCACCTGGAAATCCCAAGAGGCCAGTGATACTGCTGTTAAAAGGAGCACTCCTGTCCCAGGAGGCTATGTCAGGGTCAGACCTAATGCCTCATTAATCACCCTGTCTTCTTGTGACCAATGTGGGTGCCGCACGAGGGTGTAGCAGGTAGACCTGAAAGCCATCAACTGCATTTCTCTGTGGTCGACCAGCCTGGAAATACTAAACTTTCTCTTCTTGGAGATGCAGCAGCTACTGTTAGTGGAAAAGAGAAGAATGTTTATCTGATTCATTCGTTTGATTAACTTCCCTGAGAAGTAAGCACAAGTGGAACTGAATTGGGCTTGTCTTCCTCATAGTTTTATTTGCAGTGAGTAGAGCCCTAACATTAATGCTGTCCCATGACAACTTCCCATGGGTCCCAAATGCTCCCCTGAGGAGCTCAAACCTCTTTGAGTGTAGCAGTAGCTCTGAGTTGTCGGTCTTTCTTTTCAAAAGGTCAGCGGGTGGTGTGAAGCAGGAATCTACCTCTTGGCTTCTCAAGCTGTGGACAAGTGCCAGTCTCGAGAAGGGATCGACGTTGCCTTGAATGATATCAAGACATTCCTGGCCTCTGCGAGGGAGTACCAGCTGCTCAGCCCCAAGGAGTTTCACAACCAGTTTGAGTCGCTGCCCACCCTGGATGCAAAGGTACTGTTTCTGGATTGTTTTGATCCTGTGGTTGGGAAAGGCATGGAGAAGAGGAGGGCTTTGCTTGTTGCCTAAGAACGGCCCTGCAGGGTAAACTGAGCAGGCCGTGCGAGCCAGCTAGCCTGTCCCCGAGCCCTTGGGTGGCCTTTGAGGCTCCCAGCCTGAGTGCCTTGACAGAGGGATCTTTATGGTCTGATTCCAATATCACCTGCAGCCTTTCATCGCTCGACAAATACCTGTGAGCATCTTTAATAAATCACACGTGGTACTGGGTGCTGAGAACACAGTGCTGAGCAGAAACAGCCCTGCTCCCATCCCACAGGTTAGTGGGACACGAATACAGTGATCACACCACAATGCGTTACGAGCTGAGAGGAGTGCTTTGAAGGCGGGGTCCGGGTCCTGGTGGGCATGGCGCGGGAGAACTTGACCCACTCCGGGCTCAGAGGAGGCCCTGGAGCCAAGTCCAGAGAACGGAAAATTGGAGGCACTTCCCACACAGAAGGAGGAAGGCTGGAGAAGCCCGGCACAAGTGCAAAATCCAAAGGTCAGGGTTGAGTCCAGGGAGCAAAGGAATGCTATTTGGGCTGAGGTTAGAAAGCTACAGATGAGGTAGGGCATTATGGGGTGCGTGGAGAAGTTTGGTCTAATCTGAAGAGCAGTGGGGAGCCACTGAGGGATATGAGCTAGGGAATCACTTGATTGTGTTTGCACGTTGAGAAGATTGTTCTCCCATGAAGTCAGCAAGATCACAGATGGCACAACTTCCTCTGAGAGCAACAGCATCTTGGGCTTACCTCTGTTTTAAGGGGCTTCGCTGCCTCTTTTGAGTAATGTACCCTTTCCAGTATCTGATTCACATATTTTCAAGGTTCCATACTTGGAAAGTGGTTAAAAGGGGTTCAGCATAGGCATTGTTTATGATGATATGGACAGGATTTAGGGAACACAACAAAGGACGGAGAAGTTCTCTGAGCCAGCAAGAATAGGGAGCAGTTACTAGCCCGAACCCAGAGAGGCCAAGGCTTTGACTGTACGAAAGGGCAGTCAGTGGAGACTGTGGCTTTGGGTAGAGGATACTGCTAGTCTGGACCTGAAATGTCCTCCAAAGGCCCGTGTGTTAAAGGTGTGGCTCTTAGCTTTCCACTGGGAAGATGGTGGAAGCCTTTAAGAGGTGGGCCCTAGCGGGAGATCGTAGGTCATTGGGGTGTGGCCCTGAAAAGGATCTTGGGCCCCCAAGCCCCTTCTCTTCCTCTCTCTTTGCTTCCCACCATGAGGTGAGCAGCTTGCACCACTGCACTTTCCCTCCATGACATCCTGCCTGGCCACTGGCTCAAAAGGCATGGGGCCAAGTGATCTTGGAGCGACATCTCAAAGCTTGTGAGCCAAACTAAATCTTTCCTCTTTTTAAGTTGGTATTTTGGGTATTGGGTATTTTGTTATAGTAACAGAAGAGCTGACTCAAATATGTATTCCTATTTTCTTTTTGTCTCTCTCTGACTTGCGGGTGGTACTTTCCATTGGCCCAAACCAATCAAAAGCCCATGAACTCATGAGATGGAGTTCTAAGAGATGAGCTTCTTGGGGCACAGAGCAGACAGAGATGTAATGGAACAGCAAACAGAATACATACAACCTTTGATGGGTAATTTTTTGGGAAAATCCTAAAATTTAGCCCTAGACCCCGGCCAAGAACTTTTGCTCTGATTTGACACAGTGTACAGTACATTTTGGTTATCTGTTTGTAATGTCTGTCATGTTTATCGCCCTGGGAGCTCCATAAGGGGAGGGTCCGTGCCTCCCCCATCTCAGTGCCCTTTGCCCAGTGTCCAGCCCATGCTTGCTGAACAGCAGGTGGGCAGAGCAGCTGCAGAAGCACAGGACGAGGCGGGCAGCCCGGCACGGGGCTTCAGCTCCATGGCGCTCTGTTCCCGTCTCCTCCCGGTGAGCTTCGGTCAGGAGACAGGATCCTGAAGTGGGGTGGAGGATGGGTGGGCCACCTTCCCCGAGCGTAGGGGCCTTGACACTTCCCTGCACAGGGGACAAAGAGAAAGTTGGGGTGCGCTGCTGATGACAGTGGCAGCAGCTCCAGCTCAGATTCCTAAGGCAGAGCAGTCAGCCGGGCTCGGGCTCCAGGAGCTGAGGAAACAAGCGGAACAAGGCAGCCAGGGGACCTGCTGCAGCTGCAGTTCTGACCATCCCACTTTGGAATCACCTGCCAGAAACTGAATAAAACATAATGAATCACTTCCGATAAGCATGCAGCAGCGTGCAGAGTAGACGGATTTAAAGAGAAACCATCATACTAAATCCTGTGTGTAAAAGGAACCAAAGTATGCCCAAAGTCCATGGCTATGCTATGCATGTTCCTCCCAAAAGTCCTGTTGGGGTTCAGTCTCTGTTGTAACCCCAGTAAGAGGTGGGGCCATTAACAGGTGACTACGGCCGGGGGCGCCGAAGTTCGTTATTCCAGGTGCAAGTGTACATTTGACCCCACCCTGCCTCTCTGACACGCGAGCTCCCCCCCGTGTGACATCCCCCCCCTGTGGTGACAGCAGACAGCCCTCCTCAGATGCCCGGGAGTCCTCTAGGACGCTTGGTCCACACTGAGTGAAGGGGAGTTGTCTCGGGTCTTGTATAAAATATATACTATTGTAATATTTTAACTTAATTATTTTATGAATCAACACAAACTAAAGGTCTGTAATTAAATAAGAAAACTTACATGTCTGCTTAGTAACCATGGATGCCTGTGTCAGTCACGCACAGAGGTAGGTAGGTGGGTTTAAATGCTCTTCTCCCCAGTTTCTGTGTTCTACTTGCCAAATGGCCCAGCACCTGTCATGTCTGACGCGCACGGTTCCAATTCACCTGAGTGAGTAAGCGTGGCAGGTGCAAGAGGTGAGGTCGCTGTCAGGCTGAGTCCCCTGAAGACTCCCATTGTTGCCTAGCCCAGTGCAACAGAGTCATTAAAAAAAATCACTGGAAATCACACAGAAATGTTAAAAGTTTACAATCTTATGGGCCCACATGACTAGCTAGCTGTCCAGGGCCACACAGGGCTGTGGGTCAGACACAGCTGCTGTGGGATGTTGAGGTAGAAGTGTAAAACCAATATTCAGGAGATGGGCATCGGTGGGCAGGAAAGCATTTTTATCCAAGGTCTGGCACCCCAGAAGATGGGGAAAGCTAATGTCCCTCTGAAACGGACATATGGGAGAACTCACTGGTGCCAAAGGGCTTCCATGGGGAGGGAAAGGGGGCTGGGGTAGTGGGCAGCAGGAGGAGCACACACTGGGCAGGTGCTTCTGGGGGGTGGGTCTGGAACATCCCAACTGATACTCAGCCCGCCCTGGGCTCGTTCCTGTGCACAAATGCGTGACTTCAAGCCTTGAGGCAACTCACATGCCTGGTGTTAGCTGACGCACAGGACTGGAAAATAAGGCGGGACCTCACATGGTCGGATGTTAGGTGAAGGTCATCAGGCATTCTGGGTTCTGCAAACCTAAAGGGAGGTCATTTAGCCATTAATAGTTTAATCTTTGGATGCTTTTCTTTAGAATTACTATACCCAGTCTTAGGCCTTCTGTCACAGGGCAGAAAACACATGACTCTTTCCTGCTTTTAGCTTGAAGTGTGATTTTAGGATACAAGATTAAACATCCTCCTGATTCAGAGAGTGAGTTCTGTCCACAGGGGAGCAATGACTTTGTTTTCAACACTGGTACTCTTATCTGTGCAGAAATATCCTTACATATATGGTTACACACGGGTTGGTATAGGCACATTTTTCCTTACACCAATGGTGTAAAGGGTTCCAGGCAACAAGGCCACAGTAGACCACCAAGGCCTGGTTTTCTAAAACCACTCTCAGTTACGAAAAAAAAAAAAGGCGGGGGGACTCCTTGGAGAAATGGCTGCCTCTAGAAATGCATAAGATGATCCCGGAACATCTTGTGGTACTGGCAAGCATAGAATGCTATAGAAGAAAAACACACACACACACACACAACACACCGTGGTGAAACATAGGAGTCAATTAGGAGAGCCCTCAGTGGTCAATGCTGGAAAAATTTGAGCAAAACATAAATGAAGTAGTTACAACTTAATAGCGGCACAGTTTGTAATAGCTAAAACTTGGAAACAGCCCATTTGCCCATCAGTTGGCAACTGGATAAAGATGTGATTTTTCTATAAAATGGAATTCTACTCAGCCATAAAGAATGAGAAATTAGAGTCATTCATAGGAAAATGGATACATATTGAGGACATATTCCTAAGTGAAATAAATAAGTCACACATGTGTAAATAACAAATAGTTTCTCTGGTGTGAAAAACTATAATAATACATAAGATCCTAATGAGATAATTGACCATGTGAAATCGGAAGAAAAGGGCTAAAGGTGCAGGGAAAGTGGGAAGGGTAGGGGAAAGGGAATAAGGGAAAAGAAAAAATATGAGAAAATGAAAAAAATGGAAATAAAGTGTTTGTAAATGGGGGGGTGAATGGAGGGCAGGGACAAGGGGAAAAAAATGAAAACCAAGACCTATTGTGTAAAGATACAAGATCCCAATGATGAATGTAACTGTATTGTATACCTAAAATGTACCAATAAACTCAATGAGGAAAACAATTGCAATTTAAAGTACAAAGTACATAGCCGTGAACCCATACTGATATAACTATACTATGAAATAAATAAATAGGAAAGAGGAAACTAATCTCACAGGCAGAATTCTAGATTATTTCTCTCCATAATGTGCCCGCAAGCCAGGAATGTAGCTCCCTGCATCGGAAGTGTGGGCCACACACAGTAACTCATTTCCAAAGAGTACAGAGAGGAGGAAATAACTATTAGAGTGGAGAAGCCTTGCAGACACTGCTGTACCCAGATGATGGAGGTCAACACCAGCAGTGATAAGGCATAGGCTTAAGGGACCCTTCATACGAAATCTCCATGCTTCCCCCCCAAAATCCATGACCCCAGTCTGACTGTGAGAAGACCACTGGACAAATCCAACTGAGGGACATTCCACAGCCTACCTGAGCAGTATCCTTCATACAGTCCAGATCATCAAAAATGAGGAAAATCTAGAGACTACCACAGCTGTCAGGAGGACAGCTAAACATAATGCTTCATCCTAGGAGGAAATTATATTTGGTAAAAGACTAGAGAAATATAAAGTATATATTTAACCATAGCATAGCAATATCAATTCACTAATTTAAAAATGTATTATACTAAGGTAGATGTTGGCCATAGAGGAAACTGGTATAGACTCTATGGAAATTGTTTTTACTACTTTCCAAATTTGTCGTCAATCTCCTCTAAAAAAAAAAAAAAAATTTTAAACCTGGCCATCTCTGTCTAAAGGTTGGCTCTGTGACACTGGGGGCCCATTGATGATAAGCCACGGCATAAATGAAATTGTTGTTCTTAGAGTAGCCACTCTGTCACCATCAGGGGCTCTTCTAGTACTGTCTCTGAAGTGCTGCTGTGCCACCCTTAGTCCTCATTTCTGTTCACTCCGGGATCTAGAGTGTGGAGCCACCACAGTAGCAAACAGCAAAATTTGATTCTTCCAATACTCACTGGGTACGCAGTGCATGCCAGGCACACCGTACCGCATTCTAGGAAGGTAATCGTGAAAGTCACAGTCCCTGTGATGCAGGTGCTGCAGCCCAGTGGAAGACAGGCATCTTCCCAGGCATTGCTGTCTGGTCCAAAAGCACACATAAAGGACAGAACAGTGGGGCACACAGGGGACGAGATGGTCACCTTGGCCTAGACAGACCAGAGTACAAGATGTGAGGGAAAAATGTGGTGAATGCTTCATTTGTAAAAATTTATTACAGTAAAAGATGCATCATCATGAATCCCCCTCAAAACCCTCCCGCTTGCTTCAAACCCACATCGCGTCAGTCTCACCACTTTCTGAAGTTCCGGAGACCTCTTCCCTGAATGTCTTCAGGTGACACAGGAGAAGATGCCTAAAATAAATCTTCAAGATTCATGGGAGTGTTTCAGGGAAACAGTGGGGGCAGAAGGAACCCGATGGGCAAGGCTGTAGGGCTTGAGGCAGAAGAGCATTCGTAGGACGTCCCCAGTTGGGGTGAGGGGCACTGGCAGGAGGGAAGACAGGGTCAAATCACGGTGAAGCAGGAAAGTTATACGATTGGCAGCACGTTTTAGAAAAATAATTTCCATTGTGATAGGGAGAATGGCTTTGCAAATAAAGACAGAAGAGAAAAGGAAGACGTACAGTTGCGTGACTTTACCTGAGTTTAGGACTCTAGGGCCTCTTCCAACTCTTCTCACCATTTCCGGAATTTACAGTAGGGTCTTAGGGAAGACGTGCAAGAGGGCCAAGGTGACCCAGGAGTGAATTGTGGAGCCCTCGCGCCAGCACGGCCCACCTTGCCCTGAGCATTGGTCCGGTCCGTCCGATGCAGTGATCTTAGGGCAGCAGGTGACACTCATGTCTGGTTCTCTCAAGCTCACCCCCAGGCCGCAAGGGCAGGGTGGTGGCTCTGACCACCAGGTCTCGGCAGCATCCTCCTGCGAGTGACATGGTCTCGTGGCGTGTGGGCAGTCTGGTTTCTTCGGGGACTTGGACTTGTAGCTGTGTCATCAGAACTTCCAGTCCCTTGTGCAGCTGAGCTTCCCACAGCAGAAGGGACATCCTCTGGGCAGACCTGCAAAACAGACCCGGTCGTCTAGTCCAGGCATCTGCAAACGGAAGCCGTGTGGGCCAGCATGGCGCGCCACCTGTTCATGCACTATTATCTGAGAGGAAGATGAATTTACTTTTCTAGTTGCGTTGGCCTCCTGGCATGTGTACTGGACCTGCACTTTCAGAATCCGTCATCCTCAGAGCACCCTGGGTGACCTCTCGTGGCCCAGCTCTTCTAATTCGGGGTTCCTCCTCTGGTGGTTCAAATCGTCCAGCAGACAGATGTCTGACTTGATGTGACAGACAAAAGGCTGCCCACTTCTGCCGAACCACCAGAACTGGGAGGGCATCCTCTGACAGCAAGGCCAGGAGAAACACAGTCAGCTTTTTTGTTTCCCTTTCCCAAAGTCCATCTTTCCCCACTATTTCTTCTATTTATTGCTTTCCTGCTTGAACAGAGAGAAGGCATCACACAGAATAATATGTAAATGTGTATCCTTTCAATTCCAGGTACTTAGTGGTTCCCTCGATCCTGCCTCCAAATTTAGCCACTCTCTCCCCTAAGAATGCTTAAGTTCTTTTCTCCACCAGGGCCTTATTTCTGATCTTGAAATCTTCCTACTTTGAACATTGGCCTGACACCCTTCATCTGTGACCTGTGGCATCCTTGTCAGCCATTAAAGGTCATGCCCAAGTGAATATTTATCCGCTCAGCAAATATTTCCTGACTGCCAGGTACCCATTTTAGTGTGCCAGCCAGCCGGTGTTCCAGACCCTGGAGACACAGGAGTGGGAAGGACATGGCCATGGCTCCCCCCGCTCCCAACTGGGAGACACGGACTCGGAGAAGATTCTAGAGCAAAGCAAGACATACCCAGTGACTTGCATAAGGGTGCCCAGAGGGAAGTAGAGACAGAGGGAAGGGGGACAGATGGAAGAAGGGGAATGCTTTGTGTCCTCAGGCTCCACAGAATGCCCTGCTCATCCTGATTTGCCTTTATTCCTGCAGGCCAAAGCCCAGAAAGTCCTACAGAAGCTCGCCGACGTGCAGGAAATATTTCACAAGAGACAAGTGAGCCTGATGAAACTGGCAGCCAAACAGACACGCCCAGTGCAGCCTGTGGCCCCCCATCCTGAGTCCTCCCCAAAATGGGTGTCACCAAAACCCAGCCAGCCCTCCTCCTTGGGTAGGTCATTTTGGAAAAGGATGCTTGTGGCCTCCGTGCGTCCTTGGTGCCTCTGAGAGCTGAGATTGTGGTTGTCTAAGATGGATGATGGTCAGTGCTTTGCCAAATATGATTTAAAACAAATTAGAGAGATGGCATAGAGCATACGTCAAGGACTTTTATAAATACTTCGGTAACACTGAGTGCCTAGACGCAAGGAGAAAGGAATAAAACAGATGCTTCAGTAACATTAGCATGAAACGATTCCATCAAGGCTGTCAGAAAGCCCGTGATTTATTATCTGCTTAGTGGGAAAATTGGTTCTTTGAAAACATTTTTTAAAATTAGATAAGTCCTTACATCAGTCCCACACAGGGTTGATTACTGTAGCTTATTAGTAAGCCCTAAGATTAGGTAATGCAAGTTTCCAGCTTTGTTCTTTTTCTTTTTCTTTTTTTTTTTGGTTATTTTAGCTCCTGTTCATTTCCTTATAAATTTCAGAATCATGTTTCAGTTTCTGCTAGGATTGGGATTGGGATTGCACTGAATATATAGGTCACTTTGGCTCAGTGTTCATATGAGGTATATTTCCATTCATCTGTACCAGGGATCAAACTCCAGTCCTTGTGCTTGCGAGGCAGGCGGCAGAACCACTGAGCTAAACCCCTGGCACTGCAATATATTTTTTGTAAGAGCATAAACTTTTGTCTTAGCTTTCTAAAATACTTTGTTCACATCTGCCTTTTAATTGGAGTGTAATTATTGAAATAGTTGGATTCAAAATAGCTACTATTTCGTTACTTGTTGTCTGTTTCTCTCTCTCCCTCCCTTCCTCTCTCCCTTCCTCCCCCCACCCCACGGTCTTTGCACTGACTGACATGCTCAACTTTTACATTTGTTTTTTGAGGCAGGGCCTGGCTAAATCACCTAAGTTACCTACGCTGGCCTCAAACTTGCAACCCTCCTACCTTAGCCTTTCAGAGCACTGGGATTACTGGCCTGCACCGATGTGCATGGCTCATGTATTTTTACACATATTTTCCTCTTTTTCTGCCTTTTTCTGGGTCCAGCAAATATTTTTAATGCTCAGCTTTAATTCCTCAGTTGGCTTGTTAGCCTGTTTCTTTGCACTGTCTTCCCCCCAAATGTTGAACAATTATCGTCTGCATCCTTCATGCATCTTAATCGACTCTGAATTAGTGTCATCACTTTCTCTAACTACAGGAAAATTCAAGCTGGGTGTGGTACAGGCTTCATGTCCATACAATTCCAGCTCAGCCTGGGCAATGTGGCATCTTAGGGAGACACTGTCTTAAAATATCACAAAGGGGGCTAGGGATGCAGCTCTGTGCAGAGGGGCAGAGTTCACACCCACTGCCACTAAGATAAGACAAATAATAAATAAAATAAATTTTAAAGGGGCTGGGAATGCAGCTCATATTCCGACACTGAACTTGCATGATAGTTTTTACTGTAATAATGATTTCTTTAATGAGATTAAGGAGAGAGATTTTATTTATTGTTGATTTTACCCTCTTAACAGTCTTCAGTGTTCCTCGTTCCTTGTTGTAGACCTGAAGTATCAACTTGTCATCTTGTCCACTTGTCCTCAGGATGAGGAGCTTCTGTTAGCATTTCTTGTTGGCAGCAAGTTTTTCACTTTTCCTTTATCTGTAAGCTAGGAGGCCTCTGGGTAATTCTTGGTAAAATTTCTCTCCCCTGTCTCCCATTATATATTCTACATTTTAGAAGTAATCCTTTTCCCCCTTTTTATGAGTGTATGTTTCTGATGCATAATCAAAACATTCACCACACCTTGATCCTTTTTATTTCCCCTTCCCCTCCTCTCCCTCCTGTTTCCCCACATTTCCTCAGATCACTTTCTTATCGCCACAACGTCTGTCTCCGCCTTTTCTTTTACCCATCTTTTATTTTGCTCTTTAATCTATTTGTATTTTGGATTCCTCATATAAGTAAAACCATGTGATGTTTAATCTTCTGTGCCTGATTTATGTCACTTAGCATTAAGGTCTCAAGATGCATCCAATTTCCTATAAATGACTCAGTTTTATCTTTCTTTATGTCAGAGTAGTCCTCTATTGTGTTTTTCTTTTTCCATTCGTCTATTGATGACCATATAGGCTGCTTCCAAGATTTAACTATTATGAAATTGTGCTGCTATAAACAGGGGTATGCGTGTGTCACTGTAATATATGCTTAACTATTTTGGAAGGTACCTAGAAGGGGAATAGCTGGGTCAAATAGAATTTCTACTTTTAGCCTTTTGAGGAATCTCCATACTGATTTGCACAGTGATTGTACTAGTTTACGTTCCCACCAGCAATGTAGAAGGGTTCCTTTTTTTCCCCCCACAACCTCTACAGCATTTGTTGGTTTGTTATTGTTGTTTGCATTTGTTGTTTTTGAGGGCTTGATAATAGTCATCTTTCTGGAGTAAGACAGAATCTCAGTGTTGTTTTGATTTGTATTTGCCATACAGCCAAGGATGCTGAACATGTTTTCATGTTCCCATTGGCCATTTGTACTTCTTTTTTTTTTTGAGTAGTGTCTGTTCATTTCAATTCTCCATTTTTTATTGGGTCTTTCAATTTAGTTCTCTGTATATTCTAGATATTAGTCCTCTGTCTGAGGAATAGCTGGAAAAAGGCTTTTCCCAATCTGTAGGTTGTCTCTCTACTTTGTTGATTGTTTTCTTTTTCTTTATTTTTTTTGTGGGGGGGGGTACTGGGGATCAAACTCAGGACCTTGTGCCTGTTGCTTGTTTTCTTTGCATTCCGAAGCTTTATGATTTGATATGTTCCCAGCTGTTGAATGTTGATGTTATTCTTTTGCAATTAAGGTTCTGTTCAGAAAGCTCTTGCCTATCTCTACATCTTCAACAGTTTTTACCTATTTTATGTTCCAGCAGACTCGGTGTTTCTGTTTCTGTATCTAGGTCTTTGATACATTTTGATTTGATTTTAGTATAAAGTAAGAGTTATGGGTCTAGATTCATTCTGTCATGGTGGATGACCAGTTTTCCCAGCACCATTTGTTAAAGCCTGTGTTTTTAGGCCCCACTGTTGAAGATCCTATGGCTGAAAGTACCTAAGGTTGTTTCTGTATCCACGGTTCTGTTGCATTGGTCCACATGTCTGTTTTTGTGCCACTACCGTGCTGTTTTTTTCTTTTAACCACTGTAGCTTTCTGATATAACTTGAAATCCAAGATTGTGATACCTAATGCTTTGCTTTTGTTGCCCAGGATTGCTTTTACTATTCTGGATCTCTTCTGATTCCATGTGAATTTTTAGATCATTTTCTGTAGTTCTGTGAGTAAGGCTGTTGCTGTTTTGATTCATATTACATTAACTGTATACATCATTTTTGGTGATAAGGACATTTTGACAATATTGGTTCTGCCTATCCAGGAACAGGAATGTCTTTCGGTTTTCTCATGTCGTCTTCAATCACTTTTTTTTTAGAGTACTATAGTTTCTGTTACAGAGGTCTTTCACTTCTTTAATTAGATTAATTCCTAGGTACTTAACTTTTTAACCTATTGTGAATGGTGTTGATTTCCTGATTTTTTTTTCTCCATTGGCTCATTCATTGTTAGTGTACAGGAAAACTATTGATTTGTGCGTACTGATTTTGTGTCCTATGAGTTGCTGAACTTGTTTATTAGTTCTTGGTGGGGATTTTAGGGTCTTTTCTGTAGAGGATCATGTGCTCAATGAATAAAGATAGTTTGACTTCTAACTTTGCTATACATATCTCTTTTATTTCTTTCTCTTTGGCTAAAATTTCAAGTATTATAATGAGCATGAGTGGTGACAGTGGACCCTTGATAACAGTTTAGTGTATTTCTTTTCTGATATTTTCTATGAAAACACACTCATATACACATACACATGCACACTCAGACATACTTGCACATACATACTACAGGCAAAAGCATGCGCACACACACACACACACACACACACACACACACACAGATCCTTCTTGGAGAGCTTGGGACAGGACTTGCTTCTTCTGACCATTCATCCTTCCTCAAATTAAACTATGTTCATTTCTGTTTCTTGACCTCTTTCACAGTTTCAAGACACATCTGCTTGTTACAATAAAGCAGGAACTGGAGTTTGTTTTTCAGCTTTTCAAACACGAGGGTCATAACAGATTAGCATTCTTTTCAAGGTAAACAAATCTTCACATCTGAACAGGTTTTCATTGCCCTGAGACAGGCAACCAGCTCATTTTATAGAAAAATTCTACCCTTTTGTTTATGGCAAGTAACCACTGGTGTGGACTCAAGCAGGTCATTAATAGGGCTTTCCGACACATTGGTCTGTCCACCTGTAATCCCAGCACTCAGGAGGCTGAGGCAGGAGGATCGCTGTGAGTTCGAGGCCAGCCTGGGCTACATTGTGAGTTCAGGGCCAGCCTGAACTACAAAGGGAGAGCCTGATTCCTTAGTAACTGAGTCTGGGTCAAGATAAACATGGTATTTCCTTATATAACAAAGGTGGTCAGAAGGAGGCGCTTAGCGACCAGAGCTTTCAGTCTCAGCTCCAATTCCTATGAGGTGGCCCCTTGAGCACAACATTTAACGTCTCTAAAGTTTAGAAGAATGTGAAAAATCTATCCAATGCCTAACTGTCTGCAACAATAGCTAAGATGTATTGAGTTCTCACTGGGGTGTGCATACTTTACGCGCATTAACCCGTGAAGCCTTGAGCACAACCCCGTACGTGGGTTTTTCTCATCACTCCCCCACTTTGCAGACGAAGAAGCTAAGACCCAGAAGTGGCCGTGCTCGCGTGTCTCGGCACACGAGTGAGATGTAAATGCTGGCAGTGTGCGGCCCTTCCTGTCCTCCTCTTCCTGCAGCACTAAGGGCAGGTGCCTGTCAGCCCTGAGCGTCACCTGTTACAGGGGACACGTTTTTAGCATCCGTTGTAATGCCTTGAATCCCTCACCCCACAGAGATCCTGCTGGACTGTTCTTATTATTATACAGCTGCTGCGCTTGTACGACCCCGGGCCGCTCAACTGCATCTTCCTATAGATTTCAGCACAACTCCCACAGGAAGCCCAGGCTGCTGCCAGCCGGCTCACAGGACGGAGGGTCCTCTGGGGGCACAAGGCCCACCAGAGATGAGAACCAGGCCTCAGCGGGTGCACTCTGGCCTGGGATCTAGAAATGCTCAATGCCCGCCTCAATGAATCGCGTGGATCCAGGGCCTCCCAAGACTCAGACTGCACACAGCGATGTCAGTGATGTGAACTCGAGCACTGCGCTCTTCCTGGCCTCGTGACCGTCACCCGCAATGCGGAGGAAGTGGAGAAAGCAGGTCAGGAAGCACCACGTTCTCAGGACTTCTCCTCCCCAGCGACCCTGGAGGAATGGTATCCTATCCCTGCGCAGTCTGAGAGCCCTGTGGCTGGAGACAAAGGGACAGAGTTGAGAGAAGACAGCAAGGGCAGGACGGCCCAGTTCCCTCCCGCCACCACTAACGGACTCTACCGCACAGTCACCCGTCCTCGGATGAGTGCGGGCCCATCAGTTCCGGGGCCCAGCCGTTGTAGCACCAGCAGGGCAGTCCTGGACGCCACAGTGTGATTGAGGGGGTTGAGCATTTTGAAGACTAAAAGGAAATCTGCCAAGTGATTATATCCAAGTAGTGAGATTTTAGTATTTTTCAAAATTTTCATAGCAAGCACAAATCTGTTACTTTCAAAATGGAAAGAAACATTCAACCCCAAACCAGCATCAAGTGCGGTCTCAGACAAATTATGCCTGGTGAAATAGCAGGGAAAAGAGCATCCATGAAGTTTTTTTTGTACCAGTCAGGGGAGACACTGGGAGGAAAGCAGCCTCCTAGCCGGGCCTTGCCCTAGGAACAGTAGGGATGTAGTGGAATTTGACATAAGAGCATCCATCATGGAAGAAACGTAAGGACATCTGAGTGCCTGGCAGACCAGTCGCCTCAGGACAAGAAGTGCCAGCAATACTTATTTGTCCCATGTTAATCTCCCAAGAGGATGTAGACAAAGTAAAAGATGTTTTTTAAGGGGTTAGAAGGACAAAGCAAAAAACAAAGTTGTTTTTGAGAACACAGCTCGCCAAGCTATTATATAACTTTAGATATAAGATTAAAATGCTAAAAACATGCTTTTCGTCTGATGTTCTGAACAGCTTCAATAAATATTGCAGTTGTGATCATGAGGCTGCTGTTTGCCTGAGCGAGCTGCAGTGCTCTGATCCTGCTCCTCACATCTTGCCTCTCTTCCTTTTGCATCACCGAGACACTCGGGGGAATCAGCGACACAGGGAATCTGCTGTTTCTACCGCATCGAGTTCACCGGCTTGTGGTTTAGTGTGTGCGGGGCTTTCGGCTCTGGCTCAGGTGTCAGGTCTCTGGGATCGAGGGCTCTGTTTTTCTAACTCTCTCCTTTATCTCCTGTTTCATCCACTACCTAGGAAATTGCCGCAGAAGCTCTATTCAACTTTGTTAGTCATTGTGGTCCAGCTCCTCATCCAAGTCAGCCACTGCTATGAGCTATGAGCCAGACATCAAACAGCCAGACTAATGGCGTGTTTCCCTGTCCCTCCAGCCCCTCCTCAGAGAGCAGCCGAGGGACCCCGTGTGGAGACAGACTTGGCCGCCCCAGAAAAGGAAGACGGCAACGAGTCTAAACTTGAAGTCAAGGTAAAATCACCTTGTACGGATAGAAATTTCTGATATGAGACTCACTGCTGTAATTACCATAAATCAGTAAACTGTGTCCCCCTACCATGCCCTGAAGATGTGCCCGTAACGGCGTAGCACAGATCGGCACTCTCAAAAGCTGAAGTTCGTGGGAATTTTTTTCTTCTTTTTCTTTCTCTGTAATTGCAACTAGAAATGAATACTATTTGATCATGTTTGTAACTGCTGTTAGATACTGTTTTGCTGAGGGAAAAGCCATTTTATTCACTCCTATAATCTGATTTTATAATTAAAATTGGGAGAACAGTGTGTAGTTCATGTAGGAAAAGAGCATGAAAGTTGCTTATAGCTACAGACACACACACACACACACACACCCCCTGGAGAACTCTGAATAAGGTCTGTGGATTGAGCCAATATGAATTCCTCAGTGTTGCTATTACACTACGGTTGTGTAAGATGTTAACATCGGAGGAGGAGGGGAAGGGCATGTGGGACTTCCCCACGTATTTCTTTGCAACCTCATGTGACTATATAATTATTTCAAAATAAAAGAAAAATGTATAAGCTTTGGAATCAGGCAGATCTGGGTTAAAGCAACATCACTTCTCTAGGCCTCAGCTTTTTGTCTGTAAAAATAGGGATAATTGGGCCTGGAGATTTAGCTCAGTGGCACTGTGCCTACCTTATAAGTGCAAGGTCCTAAATTTTAAGTTTGATCCCCGGTACCAAAAAAGGGGGGGTGGATAACAGAAGTGGGTGTGATGGCGCACACCTTCAATCACAGAGCTCTGAGAAGCTGAGGCAGGAGGATTGCAAGTTTGAGCCCCTCCCCACCCTCCCCCCTGGCAACTTAGCAACTTAGTGAGACCCTGTCTCAAAATAAAAACATAAGTTTAGAAAACAGCTAAGGATATATATAGCTCAGTGTGAAGGCTCTGGGTCCAGTCCCCATCACTGGAAAAACAAAACAAAACAAAAGAGACAGCTATCTCCTGAGACTATTTTCAGTACCAAGTGGAAGTTGAAAGTTTTTCCAACACTGTCTAATTGTAAAGGAGCAGTATATTTATAAACGCAATGAAAATTCAATGTGATAGAAAATACAATGTTTAAATTATTTTTTAACTTATTATGGTAAACGACATTGCTATTAACCCCCTCAAAACCTTCCTCCTCACTTCAAACACATTTACCCCTTCATTCTTGCCACTTTCTGAAGCAATTCGAGAGGTCCTTTTTCATGAGTGTCTTTCATTGCGCCGTTGTGGTTGCCTTGATGTCCTGTGTTGACTCAAAACATTTCCTTTCCATGGTCGTTTTGACTTTGGGGAAGAGTCAAAAGTTGCAGAGCTCCAGATCCGGTGTATAGGGTGGATAAGGACACGCTGTGATGTTCTTTTGGTTTTTTGTTTTTTCGGTATCAGGAATCGAACTCAGGACCTTGTGCTTGTCAGGCAGGTGCAGCGCTACTGATCTACATCCCCAGCCCCCAGCACTATGATGCTTTTATGAAGCCTTCCTTTCCATCAGATGGCAGCCACTGTATTTTTTATCACACTGCATAAAGACTTCCTGAACTGCTTCCAAAGTGGCGAGCACAATGATATAAGTGTGTCCAAAGTGAAGGAGAAGGGGTTGGGGAGATTAATAGTGATGCATCTCTTACTGTAATTTGTTTTAAATATAAACACTCCCCATGTATTTTGATTGCCCTTTGCATGCTGATGCATAGCAATCCAAGAAGAGTTTCCTTTCCTCCACCTCCCTGAAAACTCAGCATCCAGCGCGACCACAGTTCGAGGCCAGTGGACCATGGGCTCAGCTCAACTTCAACAGTAGTTTGGGTCCTCTGAAGCCACAGAGCTCCACTGACACATCAGGGGCTGGGCAGAGGACAAGTCCAGAGGAAGAAGTGTGTAACTAAAGCTCCCAGCAGATTTCTGAGAGAGAGAGAGAGAGAGAGAGAGCGAGAGCGAGCAAGAGCTGCGTCCTTCTGCCAACTGTCAGTCAGCCCGCTGAATTCTGGGCAGACACTGCCATTGCTTTTTCCGGAGAATTTCTTGAGTGGAGGAGCTGCACCACCGAGGCTCCCTTCTGTGTTGTAATGATTCTTTCCTTCCCGCTGACTTGCTTGTGTGTTTAAGGAAGGGCTTTTCCCAGAACTGTATCACGTTAACAGTCAGGGGAGGAGCCACGGCTTGTAAAGACCAGCAGAGCCCTCAATAAAGAACAACATGAGTAGGAAGAAGGCAGATTGTGCACAAAACCCTCAGATCCCACACTGAGAAGTTAATTTCGGACCAAAAGATGTGATTAATATTTTATAAGCTTGGTTGTATCACCAGGGAAATGGTTATTCTAAACTACAGAAGGAAACTAATGAGGAGAAAAAAACGTAGATTCTGGATTGCATGAGCCACAGGTCCTTAAAGGGGAAAGAGGCAGTTGGCTAACAGCAAGAGTGATCACTGCTCCCCAGGCCTTGTGCCACCACGGGAGACCGAGGACCTGAATGGGTGGAGCCTGCCTCCCACTCTGCAGCTCCCGGCATCCTCTAGGCCTCAGGCCAAGAACTCAAATGGGTAATGAAATCCCAGCCGATGTAGTAGAGTGAGTCATCCATTGTGATGCTGCCTCTTACACGGAAGAGAGAGAGAAAATAGCTGTGAATCAAAGCCATTCGGGCTTGCTGCTAGAGCCGCTGATACTCCTATCTGCTAGTAAGTGTCTGGTGAGTTTTGCCCGCTCTGGGCAGATTCATCCCCCAGAAAGGCGCTCCCTCTTCCCCAGTGGGGTGATCCTTGCTGTGCCAGTTCTTGACAAGTCAAAACGGACAAGATTGTCCCCAGGCCAGCTGGCCATGGTGCTGCCATGTGCCAGCTTCCCCACGAAAGCCCAGAGGTGGAAGAGACTCGCTGTGGTTATTTGGCAGTGAGGCAACGATTTCCTGTTCCTGACATCACAACAGAAAGCTGAAAGCATGACTCATGGGAGCAGTTCTCCTGGGCGGCACACCACAGCCAGAGCCAGAAGCTGACGAGACCTTCTTTCCTAAGTTAGACACCCACAATACAAAAGGAAGAGCAAGCAGTATTCTGGGCACTTGTCCAAACGTACAGTAGCAGAGGCCCTTCTGAGCCAATAGGCTCTCTAATCTAAGAAGATACAGATATTATAAAGCAAAGGCTAGAAGGGAATGGAAAGGTGAGAGGCCCATCGCTGCCGATGACCAAAGGCCGGACCCGTGCGGGCACCACGTGGACCCAGCTTCATCTCCCATCCTCAGAACCTGTGAGGAAGATAAAGTCGCCATTTTGTCCACGGTGCTAGTGAGGCTGATAGGTTGAGTTTCCCCAGGGGAACTAGTAACTAGCACAGCTGGGACGTGAAACTAGTAGTTTATTAATCTAGCAGTTTACTTTTTTACCTAATTAAATTTACCTACATGATTACTTAATCTATTAAGCCAGCAATTCATTTAATGTCTCATACCCTAAACTTCTCTTCTGCAAGATGAAGATAAGTAACAGCTACTAGCATCTTCATGGGCGCTTACTTCAATGAGAAGCACGTGGAAAGCACCTAGCGGGAGGAGGTTACCTGACACACACCAGGTTCTTAGTAGATTTGGGTTCCTCGTTTAAACCTGTGGCTGTAGATGGAATGTTCTGGGTAAAAACTGAAAAGTTGAAGGAAGAAATTCAGGCCTTCAGTGGGATTCTCCTCATATGTGAACCTTTTCGTCAAATGATCACAGATCAAAGGCCATAATTAGGTCCCGTCTCTTCCTACTTTGACTCCCACAGGTTTTCAGTTAAGCTTTCTAACTCTGCAGGACAACTGCCTGAACTCTGAGCTCGCTTCCTCCCTCGCCTTCCAGTATCAGGGCTGACAAGAGACGAAGCTGCCATCAAACCCTCCAGGGGTGGCGGCCACACCCTCCAGAATTTCTAGAATGAAGAGTCTCAGTTTTCTCCTGCCCACCACAGTTTGGAGTTGCTCAGAAGTGCAGATTCCCAGGCAGCACCACACAGATTTCAAATAAAAGAGGTCCCAGGTTAGGTGCAGGGATCTGAATCCTTAACCTGGATGCTCCAGCCAAGCGTCACACTTCTCTAACACTGTGCCGGCTCGGGATGAAGGGAAGGAAGACAGAAGGGCCCTCCCGGCTCTGCAAAGACAGGAAGGCTCAGAAGTCTAGGGCCACAGGCCAGTCTGGGATGGTTCGAGCGTGGGGAAGGGATGGGTTACTGAAGACTGCAGCGAGGGTTGCTGACAGGAGGGGTCTGCGTGTCAGGAAGGTAACCCTGGGAGAGGGGAAGAATCGGCGAAGGAGCCTACCGCGAGGGCCTCCTGGCAGCAGCTGCCAAAGGAAGTCGGCAGAAGTCGCGCGCAGTGGCCTGTGTTCTTCTCTTAGCCTGACACACACCAGACCGGGAGGGCAAGTGTGGTGAAGCAGGGGTAGACGGAGGCCCGGGAGAAGGGGAGCATTCTGGGGGACACGAAGGTGCTGACAGTGACTGAGGTCACCATCTTGGGTCCTCATGGGACAGGTTTGTTGGCCTGGATAAAGGGCTTTCAAGGGCCAGGAGGGAATAGGATTTCTAAAGGCTGAATTCATTCGGCCTCAGAAATCTGTAACGGCGACCCATGCCCTGTTTTGAGCTCCCCACACGTCGGAACCAGAGGAACCTGGCCTCGCAGTGTGTGGGGGCCAGCTGTGGACAAGCTCCGTGGCCAACTCTGCCAAGCCAAATACTGGCCTAACAAAGCACTTTTCTGCTTTGTGACTTTATTGCTGAGTTAACGTCACAGGCATAAAAGTTAAGTTACATCAGAATGTATGCACTGAGAGTAAAAATCACGGGAAATGAGTGGCCTGGGAAACTTGAACTTCTTTTCAGCGTCCTCGGCACACTTGCTCCCTTTTCTTTTCTTTCTTTTTCTTCCCTTTCCCTTTGGGGTGGGGAAGAGGCACTGTGTGACATGTTTTCACT